CTGTGATTTGTCAAATGCCATAAGGTAGCAATACACAGTTAGGAAAAAAACTTAAAATTGACACTCATAATTTTTAAACATCCTCTTTCCCTTCCTTTCTAACAAATAAGGCTTAATATTTGTGTTATGCATGTGTATATTTATAGAAAGAGAATCTTCCATAGATTTGATTTCTAATGGTTATAATGGTGAAATATAATCTCTTTTGGGTGTAACCATGGCAACAATCTGCATTTCTTTGATACAAAATATTGCATAAAAGGGGGGTGAACATGTCACAAAAGTCTCCAAAATTTGGTCCAAAGGAAAATTTCAATCAATTACAGTGATACCTTTCCTGAATCCATAGACATATATCTATCAAGAGGTCCAAAAAAAATCATATGCATTTCTGCTCGTTTTTCCATAAAATTGAATTGAAAAGATCGAGCGCAAAATCTTTGTTGATAAATACTACAATAATTTATGAACCTATGGGCGGTACGGATAGGAAAATACGGACTGTCAAACAGAAAAATTGCCTATAAAACATGCTAAAAACAATCTAAATGTTCATATAAACCCACTAAGAAGGCTATATTATTCTTCAATTATCTAAAAATCTATTTTATTGTACAAAAACTTTCATATTTAAAAAATTCACCATGGCCATAATGCGAAACTAAACTTCTAACTGTGTATTGCTACCTTAAGGATAAACATTTTTTTTTCCAATTCCACTTTAAATGGATTTCTGTGTTCTGCTAGCTTAAACGAGCAAATTGGCCTGCTAGTTTTGAAAATTGGTTCAGAAATAAATATTTTATGAAGGTTAGCAGTTGACACTGAAATGCAGCAAAAAAGTGATTTGGTGAAACATGCCATGTCGAAGTGTAAATTCTCCTTTTTTAATCAAATTTCTAAAACTATACCTTCTGTGCTTGTCTTTTCTTGTTTAAAAACTTAAATTAACCTTAACAGTAGACAAATTTTACAAGTTAAAGTTATTTTAAGGCTTTAGAATGTCAATTTTGTTGTGTATTAGCATACCAAAGCCTTGGTTAAAATTTAGCAAATACTGAATTAATTTATAACAGCCGGAACAAATTTAGACTTAATTCAAGCTAAATTGTGACTTTATACTTGCTAAAATAATAAATTTGATTTAGTCGCATGAAAAAATATAAAGCGTTCCCTTCTGAGGTTTCTACATAATGCGCATTGTTTCTTTTCCAAGGGGTAGCCAATAAAGTATCAATTTATGACCGAACCAAGTCTTTGTGTCAAAATGTCTATATTGGTTGCTAAGGACAATAAACAACAAAAGTAACATACATTGTCATACTAAAAGATGTTTCTCCCTCATAATTGTATCTATAATCTAAATATCAATAGATTTGTGGTATGATTTGTCTAAAAATAAGCAATTCTGTGATTTGTCAAATGCCATAAGGTAGCAATACACAGTTAGGAAAAAAACTTAAAATTGACACTCATAATTTTTAAACATCCTCTTTCCCTTCCTTTCTAACAAATAAGGCTTAATATTTGTGTTATGCATGTGTATATTTATAGAAAGAGAATCTTCCATAGATTTGATTTCTAATGGTTATAATGGTGAAATATAATCTCTTTTGGGTGTAACCATGGCAACAATCTGCATTTCTTTGATACAAAATATTGCATAAAAGGGGGGTGAACATGTCACAAAAGTCTCCAAAATTTGGTCCAAAGGAAAATTTCAATCAATTACAGTGATACCTTTCCTGAATCCATAGACATATATCTATCAAGAGGTCCAAAAAAAATCATATGCATTTCTGCTCGTTTTTCCATAAAATTGAATTGAAAAGATCGAGCGCAAAATCTTTGTTGATAAATACTACAATAATTTATGAACCTATGGGCGGTACGGATAGGAAAATACGGACTGTCAAACAGAAAAATTGCCTATAAAACATGCTAAAAACAATCTAAATGTTCATATAAACCCACTAAGAAGGCTATATTATTCTTCAATTATCTAAAAATCTATTTTATTGTACAAAAACTTTCATATTTAAAAAATTCACCATGGCCATAATGCGAAACTAAACTTCTAACTGTGTATTGCTACCTGAGCTTTTGCCACCACTTGGCGTCCGTCGTCGTCCGTCGTCGTCCGGTGTCGTCCGGCGTCGTCCGTCGTCATCGTCCGTCCGTGTAAACTATTTCAAACATCATCTCCTCAGAAACTACTGAACCAATTCCAACCAAACTTAAGTTGAATGATCCTTAGGGTATCTAGAATGAAGTTTGTGTTTTATTTTCTGTTTCGTCAAAAAACATGGCCGCCATGGCTAAAAATAGAATATAGGGGTAAACTGCAGTTTTTGGTTTATATCTCAAAAACCAAAGCATTTAGAGCAAATCTAACACGTGGTAAAAATGTACATTAGGTCAAGATCTATCAGCCCTGAAATTTTCAAATGAATCTAACAACCCATTGTTGGGTTGCTGCCACTAAATTGGTAATTATAAGGAAATTTTGCAGTTTTTGGTTATTATCTTGAATATTATTATAGATAAAGATAAACTGTAAACAGCAAAAATGTTCAGCAAAGTAAGATCTACAAATAAGTTTTATGACCAAAATTGTCAATTGACCCCTTAAGTAGTTATTGCCCTTTAAAGACAATTTTTCACAATTTGTTCATCTAGTTTGCTACTTTAAAAAATCTCCTTTGAAACTGCTGAATCAATTTCAGCCAAACTTGGGCTGAATGAGTTTCAGAGTATCTAGTATAAATTTTGTATTTTATTTCCTTGTACGTCAAGAAACATAGCCACTATGGCTAAAATGGAACACAGGGGTAAAATGCATTTTTTTTGCTTTTGAAGAAAATATGACAGATACAAAGAACATTTGAATGGCATTTTTAAGCCACTCATTAATATATATTGAAAAGCAAAAATAATCATTGATGAAAGATTTAAGCAAAAAATTAAAGGTGAGCGATTTAGGCTCTTGAGAGCCTCTTGTTTTTGCACTGTTATGAATCACAGCTTAAGACCAAACTCAGTAAAGACCCGTCTAAATTGCATTTAATTGATAAATTCAACAACACTTACAATTATCTTGATAATATTTTTTCATTAAATAATAAAGAATTTTCTAAATATACTGCCAAAATTTAGCCAAAGGAACATACTTTAAATAAATCAAATATAAACGGCAATAACTGTCCTTTCTTAGATTTAGATATTTCAGTTTTTCACGGGAAACTCTACTGAAAAATTTACGACAAAAGGGACAATTTTTCGTTCCCTATTGTTAATTTTCCTTTTTGGACGGTGACGTTCCTTTGGCACCACCTACGGTATTCATATATCACAAACTCGTTCGCTATGCCCGTGTCTATTGTGACGTGTCATGGTTTTCTCCGACTGTTTATGACGTCTTCACACTAAATTCATTGGATGCTGGATGTGTACTGATTAATAATTAAGTCTTATGTGCATGTTTATTTCTATCAGTTGTTTTTGGCTTTTAATTAGCTGCCAGTAACTGGGAGTACTCGCAGATCTGTACTTGGTGTCCTTTTTGTTGTTGGGATGTATAAAAACCCTGCCATGTCTGGTCTGTGTACGTGTTTGATGTCTTTCTGCTTTGTATCGATCTGATGAGTTAAGCCCTTTTCAACTGATGTTTACAGTTTGTTCTTATGTTGTACTGTTACACAACTATCCCAGTTTAGGGGAAGGTTTGGTGCCAACAAACTGATTTAACCTCGCCACATTCTGTATGTGCCTGTCCCAAGTCAGGAGCATATTCAGTGGTTGTCGTTTGTTGCTGTATATCATATTTGCTTTTCGTTCTTTGTTTTGTACATAAATCAGGCTGTCAGTTTTCTCGTTTGAATTGTTTTACATTTGTCATATCAGAGCCTTTTATAGCGGACTATGCGGTATGGGTTTTTCTCATTGTCAAGGCCGTACGGTGAACTATAGTTGTTAACTTCTATGTCATTTGGTCTCTGGTGGAGAGTTGTCTCATTGGCAATCATACCACATCTTCTTACCTTTATATTAACCCATTCACAGTCTTTATTTGCATGTTCAAAGTCAGGATCCTGTTATTCAGTGGTTGCCGTTGGTTGCGGCATGCAACATTTGATTTTGATGTATTGCTTTAGAATAAATCAGTAATATGTTTTGTGGTTTACATTGTTTCATGATTTATAACGCCGGAGATTTGGGTCATTCTCTATGATTAACGGCCGGTGCGTATTGAATTATCGCTATTGACGGTTCAAGTTGTCGTCAATGTATCTCTTCAGATCTATCAAGTTATGCACCTGTAATACTCTGTAGAATGGTCATAGTTGTCTCTACAAACTGTTCAAACTTGTCTTTGTCTTTATAGACTCGGGGCCGATTTGTTTCTATAGATGGCACGATTTGTCTTTTTTATAGAAGGTCCTATTTTCTTCTGGCCGAGATGTCTTGTGATCGAGCTGACTTGAAATTCATTTTCAAGTTTTATAGAGTTCTAGTAAGACGTGATTTGTGGAAAGATACATACAAAATATCGAAATAGCCTTACTGAGGGGCGGGGGGGGGGGGGGGGGGGGGGGGAGGGGTCCTGATCCCGAAATCCCGGGCTTAAAAACATGGAATCCCGAGGTCCTGAATTTAAAAAGAATTCCCGGATCCCGAAAGGATCAATCCCGAAATCCCGAGCTTAAAAACACCCGATCCCGGAGTCCCGATAAAGGTCCTAACCCCCTCCCCCCTAGGCTGAAATTTCACGAAATCACTGATGAGGATTGTTTGCGTTATTTTCATGCCCATAGGCAAACAGTTGACAAATTTCAATTCTATGATAACTGTTGAAAATTTTTAATTGGGTAGCATTTCAACGCTCATTCAACGAAACTGGCATTGTAATAGATAACTTGAGTAAAATTGTATTAGCCGCCATTTAAACTAATTGACTTTCAGGTGATCTCCCTTGCTCCTCATTGTTTACTTCCTGCACATGTCAATAACTACACGTTTGTTTACATTTTTCCAGAAAAGCGTTTAAACGTTGTTGTTTATCGCTCCGTCTACATAATATATAAGAGAAGTTAACATACATTATGGTGCTTCATTCCGGGTTATAAAACTTTTAATGTTTAGTATCCAAACGTGTACCAGTTACGTGCATGGCTTACGTCGTTCCTGAAACATTCCAGCCATGTAAAGGTGCACGGAAAGAACTTCCATCTGGTCTGAAGGAACTTGCAACACTTTCTGAAGTTCAAATAAGCAGGGATGTTAACTTCTTTGAATGTATGTTTGTTGTTATATTTTTATGATTCTGTTATTGGTTGTCTTCTCTCATCTTCATGAGGATCGTAATGGAGGTACCTTTATGACGGATAACGGTAAATATTCTTGCCAAATGACGTTAACGGTATTTTTTGGTGCATGACGATAATTTTGACGTTTGACGTTTGACGTTAACGGTAGCCGAAAATGACCGTTTGGCATTCCTACCCTCCTTCATATTTGTTTAACAAACTTTACATCATAGATATCTTTGACAACTTATATCATTTAATCAGAAGTGAATTTTAACTGACGATATCAACAATTCATGTTTACATTTATAAAATTGATATCAACTGCTAGTATATGCTAAACAAACAACAATTACATTGTTTATTTAGAACATGTAACATTATAAGATAATGTGGGACAATCAGAACTCCAAAATTTCAAAAAAATGGGACAATCATATTAAACGGTTAATTTCGACTCGGTGCTATTTTTTTACTTGATTTCAATCCTTTAGTTGAAGCGCGAGGTTCCACTAGTACAGGGTTATCGAATAAATATCCTTTAGGTGTGTACTTTATCATTATATATCTTATTTAGTTTTTCTCTCCAGCTCTGCAAAATCTCATCTGCAAAAACCAGACGACTTTTTTTTCAACTCATTATGTATGTAAGTCATATCTTGTATAACAAGGTCATTGTTTAAAAAAATGTAAAGGCGAATGATCCAGTATCAGTTTTGTCAACACATTCTGTTTTTGTCTGATATCAGTTTTAATCAAGGAAACAAATATATGAATGAACAATTAAGAAATATCAAGGATATTAAAATTAAGATAAAAGATGTATATAGAGAAAAACATAAATAAAGGATTAATTTCATATGTTACAAGAGATTTGTTCTTAAATTGGTAGATTTTAGGATGATAATAAATATATTCATGAAGCAAAGAAATAAAACATAGTCCATATAAAAGACTGATCATAAAGTTGTTCAAGTAAACTTTCAATTCAAGTGACTAAAATAGGAAAGATTTTTTTGGAATAAATATTCATCGGAAAATCCTTGAATTAAAAAACGTCATAAACATAAAATCGAAAGCATGTGCAGCTATGTCTTCTTCTTTCTGTAACTGCCTCCTGTAGTATTTGCTTGATTTTTTTTATATAGTGGGCTATATACACTTGCACGGACGAAAATAGCTAAAATCACTTAAGTATTTATACAGTAAAAAACGCACTTGCTTATTAAAACGATGGGCTTATATTACACGGAAGATATTAATTACTTCGTTGTACGCTGAAGTTTCTAATAGTCTAAAATCTAAAATGTTAACTATATATAATGATTCACTTTATGGCAATAGTAAAACCGTGATCTGACACACCATTAAATATCTGTATGACTCTCTCTATTCAGTACGGTATCAGCTACCGCTATGCATATATCAAATGTCTGTATTATCCATCTTCCCTATACCAAAATATCTCTAAGTACATAACTGTATATGAACTGTCCTTCATGTACTTCTCACATCTAACTGTATTTGAACTGTCCTTCATGTACTTCTCACATCTAACTGTATATGAACTGTCCTTCATGTACTTCTCACATCTTTAACTGTATTTGAACTGTCCTTCATTCACTTCTCACATCTAACTGTATTTGAACTGTCCTTCATGTACTTCTCACATCTAACAGTATTTGAACTGTCCTTCATGTACTTCTCACATTTAACTGTATTTGAACTGTCCTTCATGTACTTCTCACATCTAACTGTATTTGAACTGTCATGTACTTCTCACATCTAACTGTATATGCACTGTCCTTCATGTACTTCTCACATCTAGAACTGTATTTGAACTGTCCTTCATGTACTTCTCACATCTAACTGTATTTGAACTGTCCTTCATGTACTTCTCACATCTAACTGTATTTGAACTGTCCTTCGTGTACTTCTCACATCTAACTGTATTTGAACTGTCCTTCATGTACTTCTCACATCTAACTGTATTTGAACTGTCCTTTATGTACTTCTCACATCTAACTGTATTTGAACTGTCCTTCATGTACTTCTCACATCTAACTGTATATGAACTGTCCTTCATGTACTTCTCACATCTAACTGTATTTGAACTGTCCTTCATGTACTTCTCACATCTAACTGTATATGAACTGTCCTTCATGTACTTCTCACATCTTTAACTGTATTTGAACTGTCCTTCATTCACTTCTCACATCTAACTGTATTTGAACTGTCCTTCATGTACTTCTCACATCTAACAGTATTTGAACTGTCCTTCATGTACTTCTCACATTTAACTGTATTTGAACTGTCCTTCATGTACTTCTCACATCTAACTGTATTTGAACTGTCATGTACTTCTCACATCTAACTGTATATGAACTGTCCTTCATGTACTTCTCACATCTAGAACTGTATTTGAACTGTCCTTCATGTACTTCTCACATCTAACTGTATTTGAACTGTCCTTCATGTACTTCTCACATCTAACTGTATTTGAACTGTCCTTCGTGTACTTCTCACATCTAACTGTATTTGAACTGTCCTTCATGTACTTCTCACATCTAACTGTATTTGAACTGTCCTTTATGTACTTCTCACATCTAACTGTATATGAACTGTCCTTCATGTACTTCTCACATCTAACTGTATAGGCATCACTAGTTTGTGATCTGAAAAGTATTAATCAAAATTCAAATCCATATGTAATGAATGATCATATTCAATAAAATTTTAGCAATTATCCGAGTTACTAGTAACCTCTGTTGGTGTAATTCATAGCATATGATTCAATCATTTTCAGGAAATTATTGTCATTTGGAAATGTAGAGCTCACAAGTTTTCTGCGGTCAACAATTAATTGACTTAAGGTGCCCTTATTTTGAAAATTGGTCAATCCCAATCTTATTAATTACGGCCTGTTTTATTGGGGCATAAACAGTCCGTCGAACCCCTTCCAGAGTTGGACATCTAGTTAGAAAAATGTTGGGGTTTTCTTCCTCGAGTTTGCAAAACGGGCAAATTGGGTCTGTGCTGCCTATATTAAATTTTGCATTAGTTGCTTGTAAGAGGTATGTCCCAGTTAGTATCCTAGCTTTTGTTATAGCTTTCTGTGTTTCCACTGGAATTTCTGTTGCAGTCTTCAAAACTGGATGTATTTCCCCTATTCTGATAGTGTCAATACAAAGCCGATTTAGGGATGACTTCTCTGTACTAAGTGACCTAAATTATCGCTCCAAAATTTATTTTTAGCAGATCTGAAACTAACGGAGACTAACTAGAAGCTATGTCAGTTTAAAAAATATCTGGTCCATCATTAACAATATAAAAAAAACAATTAACCCCCGGTCGTGTCAGACCAAAGACTTGAAAGTTGGCATTTGCTGATTCTCCGCCAAGCATGCATCAATTAGGAATTAGAGAACAGATTGGTCGGCCCAGAGTTAGAATAATGTTTCTATTAACATGGTTGAGGGTTACATATGCCTTCCCTGTGGACTGTTATTTTTAACTATCACTTTAAAAATCCGGCTCAGTGTATGTTGGTCTAGTTCAAAGTAGGTTTCATATTGGTCTAACATCGATATTGTTCTCGTCCTGAAAATGCATTTAACTTGCCACTGGACATTGAACAACCATCCGTTCATCTTTTTCAATAAAATTATATATGTTCTGAGCATACTGATGAAATTAATAAACCACATATACCTCTTCTTCCCAAGTGAGAATGTAGTTTTAGGCCTTGTCCTCTAATTTTTCAAATTATATTAATTCTAACAGTAGGTTAGAAAATAACTTATGCTAATGTAACATTGTGATTGTAAATGTTTTTCCCTTTCAATTCAGTCTCCCATCCCTTCAGTCTGAGTGTTCATAAATTTTAATTTTTAATCCTTTAGTTGAGTCGTGAGGTTCCGCTAGTACAAGCTTAAGTTTATCAAATAAATATCCTTAATTGCTTAAAGCGTGTACTTTGTTATAATATCTTATTTTAAAATTTTCCTCTGCGAAATCCCATCTGCCAATATCAGACGACTTTTTTTCCCATCTCATTATGTATGTAAGTCATATCTTGTATAACAAGGTCATTGTTTTAAAAAACGTAAAGGCGAATGATCCAGTATCAGTTTTGTCAACACATTCTGTTTTTGTCTGATATCAGTTTTAATCAAGGGAATTAGGAAGAATGAACACAGTCATACTGACCAGAATAAACTCGTAGTTTTTTTACGTTAAAGTAGAAATCCATTATTGAGAACCTTCGACGTTGAATACATATTGTGTCCGTTAATGCTTTAGAGACGTCCCTACATGCCAGCGAGTGAAGATTGTTAATTAGTGATGTTTTAACTTAGCTTACATTCGGCAACTTTTTTTCTATTCTTAAGATAAAAGTATTCCAAATAATGCTGATCCGGACAGAATAATATACAAAAGTGACATTGTCTATATAGCTTTCCCTGTGACAGCCACAAGGAGCTTCTAATGAATTAAACCCGTGTTGGAGCCCCATCCTAACAAAACCTACATATAACACCATCATTAAGTCTTTTACTATAACGGTAATGGTAGGACTTACACAAACAGCTGTAACTATACTCATTACTGACTGTGTCCGTATTCATCCATATACTCCTACACACATATAAATGGTATTGCACTGTTTTAACTTAACTTATTAAGGGAGTGGATGGGGCCGGGGGTCTTTCGTTTTTTGTATTCTTTAATTTTTAGCCCATTTTCCTCTATTCTATTTTTGGCCCGTTATTCTCTATACTTTACACCCCGCTGTTCTCTGTTCTTTATTTTTTTGGTCCATTTTCTCTATTCTTTATTTTTTTTTTGACTCGGAATTATTTAGAGTTTAATATATTGTATAGACACATGTCTATTGTTAAGACCGCGTGTTGATCTCATGATGTCCTTAGTTACGACCTCTAGATGTCTATTGATAAGACCGTATGTTGACCTCTAGTTGTCCTTTATTAAGACCGTATGTTGACTTCTAGATGTCTTTCGTTTTTCGTGTCGTTTTGGTTGGTGTCCTGTTGACATATATCTTATATTACTTATGTAAAACACATTTTTTTGTTCAGAGAAATGAAAGGGAAAGTGAGCTAAATCTAAGAAAAATACGACTAACGGTTAATATAAAATTAGAATAAAGATCTCTGATGGCATTATGCTCATAAGACGAGCAATGCGAGTAACGATCGTTGATCTGAATTTAATCAGATTATACTAACGGTATATATGTACTCATAAGGGTCTTGTGTATTCCAGTGATTTTTTACTATACTCTCTATAGTTGTATGTGTGTCATTGTTTTATTCTGTACCTCTATTCACTTTAGTTATTTTGCATATCAGTATTTTCTTTAGCTTGTTCACTTTGTCACTCTAGTAATATTATTTCAGTTATTGTATGCTGAACTTCTCGTCATGGTAGTAACATTATTTCAGTGATTTAATGCTGTACATCCCGCCACTCAAGTTAAACTAATTGAGTGTCCTTGTCATGGTAGTATTATTCATTATTTCGCTGTACTTCTAGTCACTCGTGTATGCAATTCAATGGTTTTATGATATTATACTCCTCTGCACTTTATCTATTTGTATTTCAGTATTTTTATGCTGTACTCCTCGTCAAGCATCATTTACTGTCTCTACATGTACGCCAACACCAGAAGAAATCTTTTCCATTAAAGAATGTAAGTACTGTCTTCAGGATTTCTGTCTTTTTGGTGTTTTGTTCTTTGTTCAGCTCACCTGACCTAATAGACCATGTGAGGTGAGATTTTGCCATCATTTAGCGTCCGTCGTCGTCGAGTGTCCGTCGTAAAATTTTATGGGTAAAATGCATTAGTTGTCATATATCTTGAAAACTATATTAGATAGAGAATACCTGACAGAGCAAAAATGAATAGAATACACAAATATTTATATATATATATACATTAAAAATTAAACAAGTCTAAATTGAAAACAACGTTCAAACCTATACATTAAAAATTAAACATAGTTATGATACTATTTACAATATGAAACTTCTAGGCGTCTTTTCAGACTGATAAAAGTACAGGTATTGACACACATTAATCTGATAATAAAAGTACAATTTTCTAACAGTCATTCTAATGCATATTATTAGAAACTGGGAAACTGGAAATTTTTTTTTATGCTTTTAGCGAAACTTAATATTGTGACCAAGGGCTACGACCCTCTCTACATGACGTAGAACTTTATTTTTATTACCCAACTTGAGAGGTGTTATTTATCTTTACTTCGGAGCAAATTGTAAGAGATAGGGTCAGTTTCCCCCGTATTTGTTTCACTGAAAGGGTTCATTTGTTTCACTCAAAGGTTGTATTTGTTTCACACAAAGGTTGTATTTGTTTCACACAAAGAGTCTGAGTCTAAAAGATGTCAAATCCAACTGGAATTTGAATATTAAAGAGACTATATCGTGTACTTTTAAATTTTTTGAAAAATGTACACATATTTCTATAAAATCAAATTGTAATTTTGAGCTGATTTATGTTGCTGTTGAAGGCAATTTGACATAGAATAACAAAATTTACATGTATTTGCAACATTTTGCATCAAAGGACGTCACTTAATAACGTCCTTCTTTACTTTAAATACTTTAAAAAAAAATATATTAAAAATTTGCCAAATTCATGGAAAATTGTTTTTTTTTAATCTATTTTCAGGCATTTGTAAATTGGTCATCTGATAAGAAATAAATTGAACCCATATTGTTAGAGTTGTACTCATAGTATTGTTAGAACTTCAAAGTACACACATCGAGCTATTATGCTGTGAATTTAAGTAAATACTGAGACGTTTTGAAATGGCCATGGTGTGAAATAAATTCATGCAAAATAGGCCTAACCTGTTTGTATATGATCCACCACTTGAAAACTAAAAGCAAGCGAAACATAGAGAGTTTAGTGAATGTACAGCGAATGAAAAAAGAAGCAAGAAAAACATGCATATGAACAAACTATACACAATATAATAATGAGGACACAAAAAAGACGGAAATATGAAGAAAAAAAACCCAAACAAACAAAAATATCGATTAACGAAGAAATAATATAAACGGCGTGTAAACAAACAACTAGACATATAAACAAATTTCAAAGACAGTCAGTCGTATGAGCAGACAACAACGCACAAAAGAGATAAAAACAAAACAAATACAGGTATATGCATAAACAACCATCAAACAAAACAAATACAGGTATATGTATAAACAATTATCAAACAAAACAATTACAGGTATATGCATAAACAACCATCAAACAAAACAAATACAGGTATATGCATAAACAACCATCAAACAAAAACGAATGGATACTAAAATGCAGGTGCATAAAGCACGTGTTGTGATGCCTTGTATTAAATTTTCAAACGAAGGCTTTCATTTCCTTAAATTATTTGATATAAAATATAAGGATATATGGTATGATTGTCAATTAGGCAACTATCCAACAGAGATCAAAGGATATACACATAACCCGTGTGTGCTTGTTCCGTACATATGGCTTTATTTTCGTTGTTACAGCCGGTATGTGCGTATTCCGTAAATATTTTTGTTTATTTTAGATTCAGCTGGAATGTGTGTTTTTCGTAAATATCTGGGTTTATTTTCTTTATTACAGCTGGTATGTGCATGTTCCGGGAATGTCTAGGAGGGGCGAGGAATCTAATGCTTCGGATGAGCAATAACGAAGACGAAGATGTAGCGTTTTTTTCACGTTCTATGACATGTACACGTGGGTGTTGTGGATCTTCCTGTTGTCCACCTAATATGGGGATAAATTCTCCGCCATATATCAGGATAGGAACTATACAGGAAAGGTAATGTGTCGTATTAAACAGGTCAATTCATCCGCCCACAAAACTAAATATTCTTGATAATAGTTTCAAGTTTTAAATGATCATAATGGAGTTGCTATTTGTTTTGGTACAAATGAATATGTTATGATGACATAGATAACGGATAATTTATTAAAATGGGTATGGTATCCCTCATGGAAGTCCCTGTTGTGTCGTTTGAAATGTTATTATTGCTTCGCATCACGATGCGAAGTTATTAGTTTCATTCGATATTCACGTCATCTTGAAATTATTACTTAACAAATATCAGTTCTGACTGGTGTCCTTATGATGTGGACTAGAATGAGATATAAAATATGGGATATGTCTCAGACAGGAGAAGATATTGAATACGGAAGACCCGAGCAACAATTATTGCTTCATATTGACGTAATTTATGATACTGACAGGCCCTCCGTACCTTTTTAGAAAGGTTAAACTTGCAAGTACGTAATTACTCTTGATAACCCTACGATCTTTTCGTGTATGCTGTTAATTTTAGAATATTAGAATGGTTCTTTCATTCAATATTTTTGCGGGTTATCCCCCTCCCCCGATTTCAAGACTTAATTCTTTCGCCAGGGTTATACACTTTAATACACTTTTATTACAGAGTAAATTGTTGCTATCCGAGGTTTGATGCTATAAATTATAAAGACAATGAAAACTTGCTTACATACCATACTGACTGTTGTTACATTAAAACATGTGGACTTTGTTATGATCTAGAAATAACTGTAAGTATTTTGTTCTTACACTCCGGTATAAGTGAGTTGTGAAGTCAAAATGACTAAGTTATATGATGCATGAAGTTTCTTAGTCTGTAATGTTGAAATACCTGCAAATATTGTGCATTGGCTGATCCAGGAGGACTAGAGGTCCCCCGAGTTAAATATAAATGCCTCGCGCATCAATGAAAAGACATAACTTGTCGAAAAGCTCATCCATTGCAGTAAAACTAATACCGTTATTGTTATTTTATGCTGAAAATTGTACACGAAATTTTGTTCAGATTCAAAATGTTTTTGATGAACACACACTCGCAGTGCACAAAACTTTCCTCCCCCTTCAAACTCCAAGCTATCTCGTGACACACTCACACAAAACTTTCTTCCCCTTAAAAATTAAAAATATCTCGTGCCATACTTACCTTGCTAATGATCGACCATGCCATAAGGATCGTAACTAATTTTTGAGGGGATGACACGCTGTTGGGATGTGGGATTTAGGGGGTAATGAAAGTGGGAATGCGGATATTAGGGGTACAAAAAAGTGGGGGTGTGGTATATTTTGGGAGGGGGGATTGAGGACTTAGGTGACCTTTCAATCTGAATGATTATCGCTAAAGGAAGTCACTGTAGAAGATGTGAGCTCTTTTGAGTTAGACGAACCATTATTTTTTTCCTTTCTTTTTTTAACTGTGTTTTTTTTTATTTAATATTTTGTATGTTAATTGGTCTGTGTGCTTAATGCATTGGTCAAGTTACGATATTCAACCTTGTGTTTGCATATTGCTGATAAAATGTAAGTCACAACATGTACATTATTTCGCTAAACGTTTATTATAGGTCCATGATTCCTGCACTGAAGAATGTGTTGCTAAAATAGTAAAGAAATCAAAATCCAATTGTCGTGAATGGTGTAATCTTAAAAATGATTTTATTGTACATTGTAAGTATATTACTGTTAGTATACAGGGTATGTAAGACACGCTTAGATTTATAATTAAATTTAGGACAACCATAATTTTTTTCGCAGATTTCAATATGTAAAACAATTAAACAAAATCTTTTCATTTGGAATTGGTTAAAAATCTATGTCCATTTCACATAAATCTATAGAGGACAAAGTTCTTCAGCTACATTGAGGTTAATTTAACCTATATTTCACACTAGATTGACTTTCTTAAAGTTTTTTGTTTTTGCTAATCTCTTTGAAAGCGATTACACCCTTAATATTTCACTACTAGTTTTCTTGAATAGTTAAACTCTGATCAGCTGATGATTTAGTTACTTGGTTATTTCATAATTGGACAGCATGGACATGCCATTGGCATTAATTTAATCTTGCATTTACATTTTCGTTTGAAAAATGCTACTATAACAGGCACATAAATTGCGTTTATTAATTTTGTATCATTTTATATATATATTGGATGTAATAGGCTTAGTAAACATATATGAAATGACAATTGTAGATATAATATTTAAGTTTTAAGTAAAGGTTTTTATCATGTACAGATTTTGATTGAAAAAAAATGCTAATATTAATTGAATTCAAAGTTGAAACCGTTGACTTTATAAAGCTATGTTAACCTTACTCTCGGGGATAGTAGAAGAAAGTATATATAATTATGGACGCAGTGCCAGTACTGGTAAAATCTCATACGAAAATGTACCTCGAGTGCCTCTTTAAAAGAGAAAAGTTCTAAACGACAAATACGAGTGCATACAACTTTTTTACAGCTATGTCCAGCTTTGAGTGAGAAATTTTCATAATGAATTATTAAAGAGAGGCGAAAGATACCAAAGGGGCATTCAAACTCATAAGTCGAAAAAGAAACTGACAACGCCATGGTAAAATCGGAAAACAACCAAAAGAAAAACAACAGTATACATAACACAGCACAGAAAACTATAACGACTGAGTATGACAAGAGAGATAACTTTGTGCATTTGTTTTTTTTCCCTTCAGATTTAACAGATTTGGACATTGTTAAGAGACTAATGGTGATAGGTGCCTGTTTATTGGCAGATTTTAACAATTTTGAACATGATCGAAGATGCTGTTGTTGATTTGTTTAATTGCTGTCTAATCAATGTATGAAATGTGCGAGTCGTTGAAACTTTAGGCTAACGCATTACTTTTATTTCTAGAATCTTTCGAAAATTTATCTAGTCAGTCAAACACTTTACACTTTACATAACTAATATCAACATTGAAGTATGCATTTAGTGATTCGATTCTTTTTCTGATACTGTTTATAGCTCATACATTGTATCTTCTGAATACAAGGAGCTCTTTTAGTTATTTTGTACATTCCAATAAAAATAAAGTAGTTTTGGTCTGTTTTCCTTTAGTTGTATTATTTGAAACTAAATACGTGTCTCCGGAAGTTCAAACGATAATGCTTTTTCATTAATAATAAAAGACATGAAAAAGGCAAGTAGAAGGTAACATAGCAATAAAAAATATCACCATAACAAAACGGAACAAAAGGGAACTCAGATGCCGCGGAATGACAGCAGTTCCTGTTATGCTCCAGAACGATAAGCGGTTCCTTTTCTGTTCCGGAATGGTTAGCTGTACCATGTGTGCTTAGAAATGGAAAGCAGTTTTTCTTTTCTGCTCCGGAATAGTTAGTTCTCTGTTTCTAATCGGAAATCGTTAGCAGTAACTTTTCTGCTTTCTGCTCCGGAATAGTTAGCAGTACCTATTTCTGCTCCGGGATGGTCAGCAGTGCCTTTTATCCACAGTTATAGTTAGCAGTGCCGTTTCTGGTTTACAAGTTGCACCCTTCTTGTTATCATCGACATGTTAAAATTCGAAAAATCGTTACAGATGTCTTAAACCTTACCATGAAACCCCGTATTTCAGTCGCTTCCATGAAAAGAAGCAGCGCTGTATCAAGGAAGTCCTGGTAAGATACAAAACCTCTAGAATACCTAATCAAGTGATAGATATTATAAGCAGATGCTTCTGGAATATAGCTACATAAATAATGGAAAGGCTGCATTTGTAGGACTTTTATTTTTTTCTGTTTGAGGGTTATTACTTTCAACCTGGTATAACTGTGCATTTGAATAAATAAATGAATTAAAGTATATGGTAAGGCGGCTCGAGTCATTTATATTTTCTATGTAATTTAAGATGTTAAATTGCTTTTGAGGAGCTGTTTATTATAAGCTTTTCTGGCTACCCTTTAATTATTCTACTGGTCAACATAAAAAGGAGGGTGAGTACTAAAAAACAAGTTTAACCCTACCAAAATTGCCAATTCATTTTAAAAATTCTGTAATTTCACCATCACTTTATGTATTCTTCACTGTACTTTCATTGTAAACTTCATACAATTTTTTGTAATACACACAAAAAACTGTTTTTTTTTCTTCAAATGTTTGCGAACCGCCTCTGTGGTGTTGTCAATAACGTTTTCGCCTCGATTGCGTTGCAGTTCGATACCCTGCAGGGTCTTTCCAAAGAACTGAAAATTGATAGTTGCTTCTTCGCTAAGAACGTGGCATTTATAAGTAAGAGCATAGACAGGTCGGTTCAGAATCGGGAATAGTATCCATGTAGGACGGCTTGTCTTCCTGTTCTTTGGCCATGAGAACTAGCACGTTAAATATCCGGTTCAGTGTCCTTATATGCCAATCCAGCATCGTTATCACTATAATCAATGTTTGACTACATACAGCATTTGATTTGATGATGCATTTTTTTTTTATGAAATATAGGATTTTTTGTCTATCGCTGCCATCATGCCCAAAATGTTAGTGTTTATTTGCATTTTATTTATTTGATGAACAATTTCCCAGTATCTTGTTTTCTTAAATTGACCCATAACTAAATTAGAGAGTTATTGGGTGTTTTCTATGGATATATAAAAAGGCAAATATAAGTCAACAAATAATATAATTTTAGTTTTTTATGCGACGTTTTCTACAAAATTTATAAGAGGTACTGCACTCCTTATCCATTTTTTTTGGTGCTTTAAAACGATTATTTTCCAACGCTTTTATATTCTAGTATGTAAATAGTTGTATTATTTACAAAATAAATGGATGTTATCAAGTTTTTATCAAATGCTTAAATTTCTAAGTTTCCCCGACAAAACCACTGTGAAAGGAATCCTCTATTTCTTAATATTTCATGAGATGCTTGTCTCGGGTTCTCATCCACCTCCCGTTCATTTTCACTCTTCAGCTTTTGGTAAATAACAGGACGAGTGTGTGTGATCATAATTTTCAATCTATAAACGTTATAAAATGACTGTCGGATATTCAATCTTAGCAATTTACAATTACAAGATTTTTTTTTCAAAGAACGTGGTACCATTTGAAGAAAAAAGAGTAAATCCTATATTGAATATGTTGAAATCACTTCGTTTTTTTCAGTATTATGGGCATTATGGTAGTTCATTTTCTTGAGACATTAGCGTCTGATGTCAGACTTATAATGTAACAGGGGATTCATTGCTTTAGGTTTATATAGAATCATAACTGCAGATTGGCTATAATATTTGTAAATACAATAAATTGCTTCGCTGAGCGCAGCTGGATACGACCGCAGATGTCCAACCCTGAAAAGTTGGGCCAAAATGGACACAATATTCACGCTTGATACAGGTCTGAATTTGGATTGTAACTAAATTTTTGACACATAATAGGTTTCTGACACAGAATAACTGTAGTCAAAGAACTTCAAATTGGTTATATGATTTGAATTTATATTCAATTTATTGCTTTTGTGCACTATGTTGTTGCGAATTGACCCCCCCCCCCCCCCTCTGCCCCTACCAATTTTTTTTTATTTTACTCCGTTTTGCTTTTGTGCAATACACTATGCTGTTGAATATTAACCCCCCCAAAAAAATATTTGAAGAAATTTTCTTTTAATTTCTGAAATCTGAAATGAGAAAAATTGTCCCCCCCTCCAATTTTTTTCACCTCCCCCCTTTCCCTTATTCCCCAAAAAAATTCCTTCCCTCAAGATATGGTCAGTATCTCAATTCAAATTTCTAATGCAGTTTGCAACCAAAATTACCCATTTAAATACATCATAAAAGTTTTAAAATATAAAATGACATACATAGTCATGGCTAAATTTAATATTAATTAATAGTAACTGCTAAATATAAATCGACAACTAATCACCTCAAGACAATCATCATTTCTTAATACATAATTTACAAGCAGTGTAAGGGAGGTAATCAAACAGTGTTCTTTAATTTGAATAGGATTACCTCCTTTACACTGCTTTTCAATTGTCTCAATTGTCCTTTAACCAGAAAAACCCTTGTTTTTCCCCTTTTTTGCCCCTAATTACTAAATGGTTTGAGCCATAACCCCCCAAAGTCAATCCTAACCATCCCTTTGTTGTATGGAAGTTTCAGAGAGATTCATACACTTTAACACAAGTTTTTGTCTGGAAACTACAAAAATGCTTATTTGGGCCCCTTTTTTTGGCCCCTAATTCCTAAACAGTTGGGACCATAACCCCCAAAATCAATCCCAACCTTTCTTTAGTGGTTATAAACCTTTTGTCAAAATTTTATTGATTTCTATTTACTTATACTAAAGTTATTATCCGGAAACCATCTGTCTTCGGACGACGCTGACGACGACGACGCCGGACGACGACAACGTGATACCAATATACGACCAAAAAATTTTTAATTTTTGCGGTCGTATAAAAAGCGCTTCAGACGCACCACATTTATAAAGTGTTATTCAAGTTCAATTTCTAGTACTTACCGAATCGATATTGCTAGTGCACAAAGATTTTTCTCTGAAAAAATAACCTTTATAGATCTTTATACATTAACATGACACGTATATACTGAGGTTAAAAAAATTTCAGACACAAGTGCCTGTGCGCTAGTGGTGGAATTATAGTATGATATTGTCAGTGCTTCTGTGCTGACATAAGTTATAATATATCTTTCCTAAAATTAAGAGATCATAAAGAAAATAGCTAGTTCTTCGTGATCGGCGCGTTTTCGCTATCGTGATCCGTTTTTCTACAGATTTTTTTTTTTTTATATTTTCGTGATCCGTGATCATGGAAATTTATTTTCTGTGAAACGTGATTGTCAAAAAAATCAACTCGTGAATCGTGATGAGACCCCCCCTTCCATCAGGCCCCTCATACATAACAAAATCTTTGTATTAGTTTTTTACCGATATGTTTGTCAATGGAAGATCGGTTAACACCTCCGTATTAGTAGTATCTACCGCGTTATAAATCAAAATCAAATCAAATCAAAATCAAATATTTATTATTCCAATCATGGTCCCACAGGGGGCAATATATAATACGTGTCGTCTGATCTCAGCAGGAACCACGAATCATATAGTCTACGATATACTCCTCACGGAAGAGTATGTAGATCTACAGGATTATATGGGTTACGCTATCGTATCTTACCTTTCAATGTGTGGTAAGCGGAAAGTTTGTTTTATCTGAGAAGAATAGAAAACTCTGTTCTTAGCTACAAATCCATCTTAGACTTTACCGCCTTTTAAACTGTTAAACAATAATATTATTATGAGTACTTACCTCCCATATTTACAATGTTTACATCCGGCACATGTCAATAACTATGTACACAAGTTTTAGAATAACAGTTTTTTTGATGAAACTGAGTGTTTTCGTTTAAGTGATTTAATCATTTATACGTGGAATAGCCAATGTATTATTAAAGTACCAAGACCGTCACGGCGACAATTAACGTCAAATATTTCAAGAAATTTAGCCGGCCACGGACATATTGGTTTGTATGTACATAGTGAGTGTGACAGACAGATGGCATACACTGTGCCCGAAACTCACCAGCCATGTAAAGGAGATAGAAAAGAGCTTCCAAATGGTCTGAGGGAACTATCAACTTTATCTGAAGTTTTAGTCAGTAGGAATGTCAATGTATGTGAAGGTTCGTATGTTTACATGTCCGCCGGGTTCGTAGGTAACAGTGTATGTATATTAGTATCTGTTCGTTCCACTAACAGAAGTTCCACTCGATAGTTTGTTATAAACAATGCCATAATATCTGTTCACGTTGGAACAAATATTCTATAATCGTTTTTCCGTTTGAAAAACGCAAATAGATTAAATGCATATGACTCGACCTGAAAAGTGCATTTGACTTTTTTTGTGTACATTTCCAGGCATGCTTTGAATTCCGTGCCATTGAATTACCCCATACCGTACCAATTGTACTGTAGCAGATGCACAATTCGGCCATTAGTGTCTCTTCGGTGATACTTATATATTTATCTTACGGCCTTCACAAATGAGCAAAATACATACCGTCTAGTTAGCAATAAAAGACCCCGACATGACCAATCTGAAACAATGCAATCAGGAAAACCAAAGATTGACGATTTTTACGACAAAACAATAAATGAAATTGTGTTGCTTTTATCATATCACCAGATACGTATACATTATTCAACTGGTTACGTTTTAAACTGAATGACCGACCTATATTTGTTCTACTATGTGACACCTCTACAGAAAATTTTGAAATATAATCTTAATATATTTTTTTTTTGAGAGACCGTATGAAATACGCAATGGAAACATATGATCTATATAGAGGTCTTCAAATATTGGAAAGATAAATTGACCAGTGGAGCTAATTTTTTTTAAACATTTGGATTACTTAAGGGCATACGATACAGTTACAGGGGAAGTAATGACGTTGCCAACGTAAAATGTTATTTTTCGCGACGTCAACTGCGACATATCGGGAAAAGATGCATTTTTCGACTTATTTTTATCATTCAGACTGATATAACTTGAAAACGAGTTCATGGACCCCTCTTTCTTAAAATGAGATTAGGATTGATTACGTATGAAGATTATTTGTACCAATTTTTATGAAAAAGTCACCGATGAGATTTTTTAAAAATTTGATAAGTATACAGCAAAAAATTCCGTTTTATTTCCTAAAATCCTGAAACTTTGATAAAAATTAATTATTTCCAAAGAATTGTTATAAACATTTAGAGCATACTTATTTAAAAGAGATTTTCCAAATGTTTTTACAAAAATCCTATTGTGTTTATCTTTTGAAACAAAAAAGTTAGGTATGTCTATTCAAAGGATAGAAATGTTCCAAAAAAAACGAAATTTTGAGTAAATGTCTAAAATTTCGACCCCATTTATCTCTTAAAGTAGCACATGAAGGTATATTTTTTATTACATATTTGCATTGACTAGGTGAAAAATAGCTTGTATGCAAATTTTCGTAAAAAAATCACCTTGGGATCAAAACTGTTACATATGCCCTTAATCTTAGAATCATATAATCCGGGAAAACAACACCCTTTTATATTTATTCCAAAGCAATGGCTAGAGACACATACAGAATACCTATTAAGTACATTCTACATTACTTAAGCAACTCGTTCAAGATTTAATCAAAAACAAAAGTAGAAGCAAAATGCATATTACCCGGTATGTGGAGAGGATGACTAAGATCTGATACATTTTCTACTTAACTGTGCCTTATTAGAAACAGCAGCTGCACAACAGGTTACAACCCAAGATATAGAAAAGAGCTATAGAAAACCTGCAAATTGAAACTAGCATAGATGTCAGATGAAGAGAAAATACAAAATACATTTGACTGCTCATGAAATAGAAGTTCTTTCATAATATAAGTCTCACTGAAATGTTTTCCTCTGGAACAAATATTACAGCTTTTTCCTAATATATTTAATTAATATATATATGATGCTTAATGTCAATAAATCAGGGCACTGGCTACGGTTACATGGAAATGTAACAATAATATAAAAATTATTGTTACATTGGAGACTAATTGCCGGAATGCAGGGTTGGGTAAGGAACCGATTAATTACGAATGTAACAATAATATTTGGGTCTACGGTTACATTGCATTATTGTTACATTAAAGACTGCAATGTATGATAGATTTATTAAACTTAAACCTTCTATAGTTATGTTGCTTAATTCTTCGATATGTACTAGATAATATTAATAATAATAATATTATTCAGCGAATAAGTATTGATTGTTTTGGTGTTGTTAAAAATCATGACTACTACAGTTTAGTTCAATATCACTATTGATGAATACTTAATGAACTGTTCAATAGAGCATGTACTGTCACGACTGATAAGATCACAAAATATCTGGACTCTGAAAATGAAAACACTGTTTCCACCAATTTCAATCTGTCGGCAAATGTCAACATTAATTGCTTTCACAATTGACTTGTATTTAAACAACCTAACATGCTTCTAAAAAAAATATTGGACGAAAATGTAAACATCGCAAGAGTAACAAAATATTTTTCACCTGAAGCATGGCATTCAGACATTGAAAGTTTCTTAAACTTCATAAAGGGAAAATGCAGAATGGAATTGTACGGTATGCAATATAGAGCGTGCACATTGCCGTATCACTGCATTGTTTGTGATGGCTGCTTAGAGTGGTTTCACCGAAAATGCGTCGGACTAAAACATGCTCCAAAAACAACATACTGGATTTGTAGAAACTGTCATTGTAAATAAAAAATCAAAATATTGTATGCAATATTGTAAATATCAAATAAAAGTTTTCAAGTTTTATTTTAATACATATTTATTACTATTCTCATCGTACATTGCAGTGCGTTAATGTAACAATAACGCAATGTAACCGTAGTTTTGTCCGTATTCATCCCTGTCATGCCTGTAAACTGCACGAACTATCCGTAATCTATACTATTAAACGAGAAGACCTCATTTTGTGTGCCGCTTCTCTTCCTTCCCCAATAAATTAATCATCATGCCTCTGTGTCCTATAGGTACCATGCATAGTCGCATTTGTCATCCATTCTTATGATTATTCAGTTTGGGTTATTTTGGGAGAAAAACGAAGAAAAAGGCGTCCGGATATTGTTCCGTCATCAGACCGACTTTTAAGTCCTACCCAAAACTTCCGATTTTAAACTTTAAAAGAGAGGGTAAAGGGTTATTTTCGTGCTACGTGTTTTGCCACTTTTTATTTCACGTGCAGCCGCCAGCCGTCCAAAAGGTTCGTTGTTCACAGTTTTTCTTGAAATCGATAAAAAGATCAACGTGCAAGAATTTTTTAATTCGGTTCGCTCACCGTGAAATGGCAATTTTATTTCGCGTTCTTCCTTGCAGATACCCCCCCCCCCCCCCTTTACTCCCCTCTTTAAACATAATTTTCATAATTACTCGGGGACAGGACAATTATTTTCGCGTTATTCTGCATGTATACTATGATTATAATCCTATAATATATAGAGACTCTCTATATAATATAGCAGTGATCACCGCCGTGGAGAAGAAACTTAATTAGAATTGATAGTTAATAGCAAATACACTTTATTTATATTATATGTATGTTCTTAATATACAGAAACGCGAAAATCATGGAATTTAACAGAGAGCAAAAAAATAACGGGCTTTGGAAAAAAAAGGGAGAAGGCTTAAAATAATTGTCCTGTCTCCACTTGAAGTGCCTATGACTCAGTTTGATACCATTTCTGAAATTCTCCAGACATAAAATGATTAAATCTTTTACAAAAATTCATCCTACAACAGTTTACATACTTTCAACCAAGCTCTAAATACCCGCGATTTCGCGGGTGTTTTCTAGTATCTTTAAAAGTCGGACTACATGCTCAACAAAAATTCAACATAGTTATCCTTGTTAATTTGTTAATTTTTTCCAACGCTGATGATTCATTATCAAAAAGGATTGAATGGGAATGACACCAAATTTTAACAATGGAATCCAACAATATAAAAATATATATAGTCATGTGTGGATTGAGGATTGTGTGTGCTTATTCTAAGTTTTGGAGAATAGGAATCAGCATGATTGTTTCTAATCGTCTGTTCACGAATATTGTAAGCGCAACTCCTTATAAACCATTCACTAGATTTTAATTAACTTTACTCAAATGTAATACACAATATAGCAATATAGATATGTTCTGAAAATGCGAGATAATAGGACCAGGGCATTTATCTGTTACAATTTATCACGTAATTCGTTAGCTTAGCTTCTATACACATCAACGACATTTCAATCAAAAGAAGTACGACATGTGAAATTGAAGTAAATCAAAATGTGACTATGTTTCAAAATCTAAGTGAGGCATTTAAAAATTAATTGGTAAACCTAAAATTTCCAAGTCCGATCGCCGTTGTTCTCTAAAAGGGTGCATTTTGTACATCGAGTTAAATCGCGATCGGGGTCACAATATTTGTATTAAGTATATATCCAGATACATATGATACGGTTTGAAACGTTTTAAATTGACCGACCTTTAATACAAGTATTATAACAAATTATATCAGTCTTTTTCTGTTGAGTGCAATCCATTCCAGATATTATTTATGGTACCACATCTGAAGAGTTTTGTGGAAGAGATATATATTTTGATTTATCATTTGTTTTTAAAAGTTCTCCTGTTTTGGTCTTGGAATAAATGTAAGGTGTACATGTCTGTCTGGCACGGTTCATATGACCTTGACCTTGTTATCAATATCATTGTTCATTGGTCAATGTTAATTTTTTTTGGTTGGTTTGTTTTTCAGGTACTTTGAGCAATATGACCTATATATTTGGCGTATGAAATGATTGTAAGGTGTACATGTCAGTCTGGCATGTTACACCTGACCTTGACCTCATGTTCATGGACCATTGGTGATGTTAAGTTTATGTAAACCTTCATATTACAGACTTTCAACATAAATTCAGGCAGGCGAGACATTTCAGCGCATGCACTCCTGTTTTAAATTGGTTTTATCCGGAACTTTAATTTCTAGCCCGTATATTAAAGTTTGTATACTATATGTTTTAAATATATGTACACAAGTGATAGGGTCTTATCTGTTGGTGCCATGAAAAACGGCTGACATTAGGCTATAAGCTGTTCTTGCTTTTGTGATGTTATTATTTACTGTTTTTTATTCAATTGTTTCCTTATAAAAATAACGAGACGTGGTATGATTGTTAATGAGACAACTATCCACCAGAGTTCAAATGAAGTGGATGCAGTGAGTGGATGTAAGCAATAGTATAAGCAATTGTACGGCCTTCGGCAATAACTAAATCCCATACCGCATAGTCCTCTTCTGTTTTCGATCTTTGTGTGTCCAAATATACTGCTTTACTTATATTTGGTAGTATTGATTCATTGACACGTTATTATGTTATAAACCTGGGATAGATTTGGGAATCTGTGACGCTTAAACTATTGACTTCACACAACTATCACTCTTCTTTTGTTGTGTCAGTCTTTTTCTCTTGTGACATCAGAATGTTACGTGAACGTATGTGCTGTCCAGTAATGACGGACAAATGGCGATAAAAAGGTGTATATAATTGTCCTCTATTATAGGATTACATTTTTACGTAAAACGTTTTATGGTTAATTAATAATTCTGACATTACTTAAGTCTTTTGATCTACCATACCGATAAAACAGAAAGGAGAAAGTACGATGAGAGCTCCGCTGGCATAACGCTGTCTAATGGAAAGTATCAGTCAATCTTTTAAAAAAATATGTTCATTTGTCTTGCGACTAAGTACAGAAATTTCAATATATGTCTATATATTTTAATAGTCCGAGATTGCTCTGACGTCCAACGGCTGTTTTGCAAGACAAGTCCCACGGCCCCAGCTTGTCTGGCAAAACAGCCGTTGGACGTCAGAGCAATCTCGGACTAATATTTTACGAACTACTTTTGAAGTATATATACGTTTATAGGTAGTGCCTGTATCATACCGACCGTGCAAGGGCTGTATAGCCAGTCAAGGTCGTTAAAAACTTCCATTTGTTGCCTGTATCATTGAAGCGGCATAATGAATTTTCATTTCCGGTGAAAGTGAGGCGAAAGTTACCAATGGGACATTCAAACTCATAAGTCGAAAATAAACTGACAAAGCCATGGCTAAAAAGGAAAATCAAAGCACGAAAGCGCTGTAAAGGCAGTTAATTACAGGTTGTGTGTATTTTAAGTCCAGTTATATCATTATCTTGCATAGTACAGTGTACTAAGCAGAGGTGGCTTTCAGTATTTAAGATTTAGAGTTCTCTAATGATATTGAATAAGTTTTATGAATGTCATATTCTGAGCACTATATGAAGGCGATTGTTCTCACTTGTTTATGAACTAGTGCATTATGTCCAGTTTGTACCTTTTTTATCTATGTTTATAGTCAAATTAGTTATCAAAGGTACCAGGATTATAATTTAATACGCCAGACGTGTGTTTCGTCTACATAAGACTCATCAGTGACGTTCAGATCAAAATAGTAACAAAGCCAAACAAGTACAAAGTTGAAGAGCATTGAGGACCCAAAATTCCAAAAAGTTGTGCCAAATACGGCTAAGGTAATCTATTCCTTGGATAAGAAAATCCTTAGTTTTTTCATTGGCAATCATAACACATCTCCTTATTTATATAATGATCTATATTCAACGACCTCAGGTACAAAAAAAATGTATGTAACTAAACTATGATGGGAAACCTTTGACTTCTTTCTTTATATAAACTTTTGATTTGGTACCATAGAACTATGTAGAGTAAATGTACATTGCAACATGTCAACTCTTTCAACTCCAAGCAAAATTATATTTCCAAGCATAAAGTAATTTATGAATGAATGAAATAAAATGCTCCGCTGGGGCGCAGCTTGATACGACCGCAGAGGTCAAACCCTGAACAGTTGGGGCAAGTATGAACACAACATTCAAGCTTGATTCAGCACTGAATTTGGATTGTAATTAAATATTTGACACAGCATAGGTTTCTGACACAGAATGAAAGTGGTCTAAGATACTTAAAAAAATTTAATTTACCTATTCAAACCATATCATTATTATTTGCTTTTATATATAAATCAGAAATAACCAATTTAAAATGGAAAATTTTAAAGAAAAAAAGGAAAAAGAATCCCCCCCCCCAAATTTTTTGAACCCCCTTATGATTCATCACCCCAAAACTCAATCCCAGCCTTCCCTTTGTGGTATGGTACCTTGCAGTACAATTTCAGAGAGATCCATACACTTGAACACATGTTATTGTCTGGAAACTAGAAAAATGCTTGTTTTTTGCCCCTTTTTGGCCCCTAATTCCCAAAAATTTGGAGGCAATTACCCCCAAAATCAATCCCAGCATTCCCTTTGTGATATGGAACCATGTGATACAAGGTCAGAGAGATCCATAGACTTACACACAAGTTAGTGTCATGAAACTAGAAAAATGCTTGTTTTTTGCCCCTTTTTGGCCCCTAATTCCTAAAATTTGGAGGCAATTACCCCCAAATTATCAATCCCAGCATTCCCTTTGTGGTATGGTACCTTGCAGTACAATTTCAGAGAGATCCATACACTTGAACACAAGTTATTGTCTGGAAACTAGAAAAATGCTTATTTTTGGCCCCTTATTCCTAAACTTTTTGGGCAATTACCCCCAAACTCAATTCCAGCTTTCCCTTTGTGATATGGAACCTTGTAGTACAATTTCATAAAGATCCATACACTTACACACAAGTTATTGTCATGAAACTAGAAAAATGCTTGTTTTTTGCCCCTTTTTGGCCCCTAATTCCTAAAATTTGGAGGCAATTACCCCCAAATTCAATCCCAGCATTCCTTTTGTGATATGGAACCTTGTGATACAATGTCAGAGAGATCCATAGACTTGCACACAAGTTATTGTCATGAAACTAGAAAAATGCTTGTTTTTTGCCCCTTTTTGGCCCCTAATTCCTAAAATTTGGAGGCCATTACCCCCAAAAATCAATCCCAGCATTCCCTTTGTGATATGGAACCTTGTGGTACAATGTCAGAGAGATCCATACACTTACACACAAGTTATGTCTGGAAGTTACAAAAATGCTTATTTTTGGCCCCTTTTTGGCCCCTAATTCCTTAACTGTTGGTACCATAACCCCCAAAATCAATCCCCACTTTCCTTTTGTGGTATTGAACCTTATTTTAAAATTTCATTGAGATCCATTCACTTAAACTAAAGTTAGAGTGCGAAAACTAATGTGTCTTCGGACGACGCCAACGTCATACCAATATACGACCACAAAATTTTTTTGCAGTCGTATAAAAAGGAGTTCTTAATTAAGAAATAAACTGATTCGCTGCGCTCAGCTGGATACACCCGCAGAGGTACTACCCTGAACAGCTGGGGCAAAAATGGACACAATATTCAAGCTTGATACAGGTCTGAATTTGGATTGTAATTAAATATTTGACATATTATAGTTTCTGAATAAATGTAGTCAATGAACTTGAAATCGGTTATATGAATTGAATTTATATTCAATTAAAGATTTCTTGCTGTTGTGCAATACACTGTGCTGTTGTGCAATACTTAATAAATCTGTTGCCAGACTATAAACAAATAAAGTTCAATTTCTTCTCAATGTCATATTTGAAATTTATGAAAATCAATAGGGAGATTACATCAATAGCTATAAATAATTCACCAAAGTTTCATGTGAACTGCTTAAAGCATTTTTGAGTTGTTGTCCAAAAACTGGAAAATCCCCCCTTTTTTAATGAATAAAACCCCATAACTCAGAAATGTAAAATCTAAAATTTATAAAATTCTAAAGGGAGCTTCTGGATTGATAATTTAGTCTTAGATGCAAGATTTTTTTATCAGTTGTTAGTGGCTTTGAACTAGCTGTCAGTAACTGCGAGTACTCTCAGATTTGTACTTAGTGTCTTTTTGTTGTTTGGATGTACAACTACCCGACCACGTCCACTTGTATTTGTATTTATCCATTTGATGAGTTTAGCCTCTTTCAACTGATTTTTATAGTTCTTTCTTATATTGTACTGTTACACCACTGTCCCAGGTTAGGGGGAGGGTTGGGATCCCGCTAACATGTTTAAGCCCGTCACATTCTGTATGTACATGTATGTGCATGTCCCAAGTCAGAAGCCTATAAAAGTGTAATTCAGTGGTTGTCGTTTGTTTATGTGTTGCATATTTGTTATATTTGTTCATTTTTTTACATAAAATAGGCCGTTAGTTTTCTTGTTTGAATTGTTTTACATTGTCATTTCTGGGCCTTTTATAGCTGACTGTGCGGTATGGGCTTTGCTCATTGTTGAAGGCCGTACTGTGACCTATAGCTGTTAATTTCTGTGTCATTTGGTCTCTTGTGCATGTGTGGAGAGTTGTCTCATTGGCAATCATACCACATCTTCTTTTTTATATTTACATCAACAGATATAAAAAATTCACCAAAGTCAAGGTGAGACAACAAAACTTAGTTGTAAGATCTCTGAAATTTTTTACAGGGTACGAGTTTTTCTCATTGTTGGAGATTGTACGGTGACAGTAACACCTGTAACTGCTTAAACCCATTTCTTATGCACTTTAGTTTGATAAACTCACTGAATATCATACCACATCTCCTTATTTTTATATGCATTACAATTTACATGTGCATGTAATTGTAAATATATATATATATCAGAACAAAATTCATTGCGTCACTTTTATTTATGCATCCTTTGGCACAATACAAGTTCTAAAATTACACAACATAAAACAACTAAATGTTATTTCAGATGAAAGTTTTGTTTCAGTTCCATTCATAGGATTTATTAGAATTTTGTATGTTTTGCCAAGTCCAAATTACACAACATAAAACAACTAAATGTTATTTCAGATGAAAGTTTTGTTTCAGTTCCATTCATAGGATTTATTAGAATTTTGTATGTTTTGCCAAGTCCAATAATTCGCTCTATGTGACATAGAGACATAGTTGACTAAACCACCAGGTGTCGAACATTCAAGAATTTTCAGTGTTTCTGTTTTTATTTGATGAAAAGGTTGCCTGAGCTCTAGGAGCTTTAGGTTTTATCACGGGATATTCTGTGCTGTCAATAATAATCCAAGTCGTAGGAAACTTTAATTTGAAGTTGGATGGTGAAAAATACCTGACTAAACCACTACTAAATTTCATCAAAGTCATAAAAAAACTGATTTTCAACTGACACCCTATCAATTTGAAAATGTATGTATCTCAAACAATGTGCTGCTGGACCAAGTGTGGTCAAAACAAATAAAAATTTAGTATACAACTCTAAACCGGTATAAAAATGCATGGCTGTGTCACGTGTCTTCATTTCAAAATTCTCTGTTAAAAACATAGGCATTGATGGTGTTTGCGTAATTCCATCTGTGAAGCTCAACATTAGCTCGGCAGTTGGTGGTGGACAGTCATAAATCCTTTCTGCAGTATGAATGACTTCTTCAGGAAAACCAACTTTACAATCAAAACTTTCCTCTAGATTTCTACTACAATATTCATCAAGTTTAGTTCTTTTGTTTTCACAGGAAACTGCCATTTTTCTTTTTGCGGACGATTCAGTTTCTTGCTTGGTCCAGGAAAATAGGCTGGGAATTGCAGTAGACTTAAGTCTCTGTATGGTGGGTTTGCGCCCTGAAAAAGGTTATAAAACATTAGTTTTTTTATAATTAAATGAACTTCCATTAGCAATGTATACTTTGTACTACCTGGCGAAATATTAACTAGATTTATTCATTACAATCTGGATAAAACTATGTTTGCCTGATTCAATGTATGTTATGTAAATCCAAAGGACAAACAATGAGAGACTTATGCAACAAACGTACATTGTTTGTACCTAAATAACTATAATATAGATGAGAGCATGTCATTGTTTTGTTCCTGTTAACATTGTCATTGATATTTTTCAAGAAAGTCTATGAGGCATAGCTTATGCATTCCTGTCATTACTACATTAGCATAATTACTGCTAAAATAATTCTCAGTATGATATACCTCTTGTAAGAAATCATTATAATTGTAGCAATCACCAAAAAATCTCAAACAGATCACATTGAATCGTAATCCAAAAAATTATGACGTCTTGAATTACCCACCCCCTTTTATTCTAAAACGATAATTGCGGTTGTAAACAGACTTTGGTTTATTCGCATGGCGATTACATATATAACTATATATTTCACAAAGAAAATAGAGTTTTACCATGAATAGTTTCCTGCACGTAGTCTTTTTCAGTAAAACGTGCCTTGCAAACAACAGCTGATTGAGATGGACTCCACGATATCATCGTGTTCTCGTCCAATCTGCGTATGGGCCATGGCGTTGATCCAACTTTTCCTTCTTTTTAAGTCATTTGGAAATGCATGTCCTCCTCTTAAATGACATCCAGGTACACAACAACAAGTACTTGGCATCGTTAATTAAAAATATAACTGAAATAGTTGCACAGTGCAGAAACCGGAAGAAGAGGAACAGGATCCGCTACCACGGCGCCACCTATTCAGGAACGATAATTTGATACTTTATATAACTGCGAAAATAACGTTAGACGGGTTCACGTGCATAAACAGAAATGCGCTTTAAATTGTATAATATAATTCATGTTCAGTCGACCTTTAATTATTATATCAACGACTGAAATGATTTATAAACATCTAGATTGCAGATAACACTCGAAATTAACCCGAGCTCTTTCCACACGGAATTCAAATAATTCTAGTTTGTCAATCGGTTGACTGCTTATAATGCAAAATACTAATATATCAAAAGTTTTTAAAACTAACAAAACACAATGATCGTTTCTCTATTTCCCAATGTAAATGAAATGTAACAAAAAACATTTTATATCGCAATAAGAAGAGGAGAGAATTCAACATTTCCGGATCTACTTAGAGTTTAATGACCCCCCACGTAGATAAGTTGGATATCGCGGAAGGAAGGATTAACCCGGCAACTAGAAAGGCATTAAAGCACTGCCTTTAAAAAGACCAACAGACAAACAACAGTATACAAAACACAACATAGAAAAACTAAAGACTGAGTAACACGGTAACTTAAGAATAATATTCCGTCTTGTTTTGCAGTGTTTTTGTGTTGTACACCTCGACAAGCTTCATTTAGTATATACACAACTGATACTGACTCTCAGGATGAAATACTTAGCATTAAGGAATGTAAGTACCGGTACATAGTTTTTCATGATTTACTTAAAATTACTATTGCCTTCAACAGACATAATCGATCATGCTGAGCCTTTTAACGTTAGACAAACCTGAGACTACTATAACATGTGTTAGTTATAGTAGTCTCAGGACAAACAATGCTGTAAAACAATATTTTTATCAAATTTTATTTATTTTCACTGCTAATTTTTTTTTTCTAAAATCAAAATAGGCTTAATTAACCCAATCAAATTTTTTTTTAGTGATAATGTTTAAAATTTAACTTGTTGCTTAGTGACACCTCTTTGCCTTTCTAAAATTCAATGTGTGTTTTAATTTCAAGATGTTTTTCCCTTTTTTATTAACAGCTGGCATGTGTTTGTTCAGAGAATGTATTGGTGCTGCTAGGAACTTGAATCTACGTATGAATAACTGTGATGATGAAAACGTGGCTACATTTTACCGTACAATGACATGTTCACGTGGATGCTGTTTCTCCCCAGGTCCCCCTTCAATGGCAGTTAACTCACCACCTCACATCAGACTGGGTACCATAGAAGAAAGGTTAAAACTTTTTTTCATAGTTGTTGAATTGTTGTTTCATTTGGGTTTAACACAATCCATGACAGTAGTGTAAATAGGGATTTATATGATCCAGCAGGCAAGTTATCCTCCATTTACAATACTACTTCAGTCAAGTTGATTGGTTAATTACAGTGGAAAATATTACAAGCATGTCCAGGACAATAAGTCAATAAAAAGTCTTTAATTGATTCTGATTCACTTTGTTTTTATAGACCATTGATAACTCCAATACTAGTATCGCAATCTACTCGAATTTCAATCTTTAAAAAAAAACTTTGAATGACACTGGACGTTTTAGAGCTTGACACTTGTCTATAGATGAAGACCATAGGTAGACATACCAATGTAGTTTGGTTATTTGTGTCCTAGGATTGCTGTCTCATTGACATATACCATCATCTCCTTGTACTCATGTGTGTATTAACCATTATTTTTTTACAGAGTAACCTGTTGTAATCCCATTTTTGATGTATTACCTCATAAAGAAAATGAACCTACACTGACATATACCACAAACTGTTGTTATATGAAGACATGTAACTGGTGTACTGATATAGAAATTCAGGTAACATTATTGAGTTTTTGGTATTATGGTTAAATTATTTGGGGACTGTTAACACTTTAAAATATTGTGTTAATGACATTAACAACTAATGTTATTACTGTGACTTGACTGTAAGTGTTGCTCTCCACCTATTGCAGTTTATTTAAAATTCTGACCAAATTGCAATTTATTTTATCAAACCAAATTTTATCACCTTGCACTTTCACCACTTGGCTGTGTTTTTCTACAGCAGTTTGTTAAAATTTCTGACCAGTTGAACAGTTTGGTTTGATACTACAAACTGCAATTTGGTCAGAATTTTGAATAAACTGCAATAGGTGGAGAGCAACTCTTACAGTCAAGTCGCAGTAATACTGTAAATTACCCTAAACATTGCACTTATAATAAAATTTACTGAATATTTTGTAATAAAAAAAAATGAAAAATTCTGAATCAATTCTTATTTAATATTAGGCATTTTTTTATCATAAGCTTTTCTTATAAATTCAGAAAATTCAACATGGGTTACATTCATCATCATCAATGTATACATTTGAAATAAATATATTATAATTATCATCAATGTATTACAATTATCATCAATGTATACATTTATAATAAATGTATTACAATTATCATCAATGGATACATTTGTAATTGATGTATTATAATCATCATCAATGTACACAATTGTAATTTTTCAGGTTTATGACCCAGCTACAGACAATTGTGTTGCTAAAATTATAAAGAATTCTAAATCTGATAGTGCAGAATTATTTAACCTGAAAAATGACTTCCTTGTTGAGTGTAAGTGCCATATGTAATGATAAGGTTTAGCTGTACAGTGTAATAAATGTTCAGATCTACCATAGCCTATGTGTGTTGACAAGGTATTAAATAGGCATCAATCAATCAGATTTACAATAGCCCATGTGAAGTGATGCTGTGTTAAACTGCCATCAATCGAAGTTCAATTCAAAAGCTTTATTTATAGACGAATATTTGAATACAGAAAAACATCAGCTCTATTGAGCTTTTATATCGTCGTATTACAAATAAAACATTTAAAATAAGCATGTTTAAAACAAAGCAAGAATACAAAACACACAAGAGCTACATAATCAAAGCAAATCATTACATGAAGCATACATATACGATATAAATGACATGAAGTAGTTAATTATGTAATCAATCAGATCTATCTAGCAATCCCTTCCTGATTGGTTGGGGTTAAAAAAAAGACATTTTTCTTTGCTTGTATGAAGGTAATTGATAAAACATTTAGTAAGGAGCATGAAAATGTTAAGTTGTTCTGTATGTTAGCTACTTTCAGATTTGCAGTACAGGAAATTGTGTTTGTTGATACATTGTATTTTGAACAATTAGGATGCTATATTTTACTGAAATAAAACACATAAGCACATGCAACCTTTTGTTTAGTAGAGAGCTCAAATGTTTCATTGGAGCTAGTTGAACTTGTTATCAACTTTTGTTAGTCTATTGTCCGATCTGATTAAAAATTCAGATCCTGTGTCCACGCTTTGCATACAAGGATCTGACGAAACTCCATGCTACTTCCTGTTCTGGTAATTATTAAATCAGCCAATGAAATTTCAGCCTTCAAATTTTTGAAGGTGTGTTTCATTACAACAAAATCAGAGGATCTCTAAACGTTTTCAAAACAGAGACTTAGAATTGAGCATTGTCAGATCCTTGTAAGAGAAGCGTGAACACAGGATCTGTATTTCAATCAGATTGCCTAATGGCCAGAGTTATCTTTCCTAATTGTTGAACATATTATAAGTAAAACTATTCTCTGATACAATCAGTAATTTAAACTTCTCAGACCTTAATCAGACCTTAATTTATTGTAAGCTGAGTGGAAAATCATCACCCCACATATATGCATAAGTAATGAAAAATCATCACACCACATACATGCTTAAGTAATGGAAAATCATCACACCACATACATGCTTAAGTAATGGAAAATCATCACACCACATACATACATAAGTAGAGAAAAATGATCACACCATAAAGATGCTTAAGTAATGGAAAATCATCATACCATACACATACATAAGTAGCGGCAAATCATCACACCACATACATACATAAGTAGCGGGAAATCATCACACCACATACATGCCTAAGTAATGGAAAACCATCACAACACATACATTACATGCATAAGTAATGGAAAATCATCACACCACATACATGCATAAGTAATGGAAAATCATCACACTACATACACACATAAAAAGCATAAAATCATCACACTTCATATATGCATAAGTAGTGAAAAAATCATCACACCACATACATGCATCAGTAGAGGAAAATCTTCACACCACATACATACACAAGTAGTGGAAAATCACCATACCACATACATGCATAAGTAGGGGGAAATCATCACACCATATACATACATAGGTAGTGAAAAATCACCACACCACATACATGCATCAGTAGAGGGAAATCACCACCACATACATGCATAAGTAGTGGAAAATCACCACACCACATACATACATAAGTAGAGAGAAATCACCACGCCACATACATGCATAAGAAACGAAAAATCACCACACCATATACATACATAGGTAGTGGAAAATACCCACAACACATACATATATATGTAGTGGAAAATCACCACACTACATACATGCATAAGTAATGAAAATCATCACACCACATACATACATAAGTAATGAAAATCATCACATCACACCACATACATGCATAAGTAGCGGGAAATCATCTTACCATATACATACACAGGTAGGGGAAAATCACCACACCACATAGATACATAAGTAGTGGAAAATCATCACACCACATACATGCATAAGTAGTGGTCAATTTTCACACCACATACATACATAAGTAGTGGACAATTTTCACACCACATAAGTAAAGTTTACTTTTAAAATTGATTTTCAAGTGGTAGCATAATATACTATAAGTGAGAAGTTTAATTTAGAGTGTGCTTTTGATATTTGTACTTTTATTGCAGTTTTAACAGACTTGGATATTATAAAGAAACTAATGGTTTTAGGAGCCTGTTTACTAGTAGATTTTAACAACTTTGAACATGACAGGAGATTTTGCTGTTGATGAATTATTGTATATTAGTTGTCATAATGATAACAAAACTGTATCAGATCTGTTTAAAGCAAAATGAGAAAGCACTAAACATTGTTAGTATGAGAGCAGTAAGTTTTAGATTTCAAGAGTATTACAGGCATATCCCTATAACTTCACTGTTTTTAAAATGTAAAAAGTAATTATGTCTGTGTTTCCTGCTGCTGCTACTAATTTTAATACATTAGTCACTACAAAGAATTGATGAACTGTTATAAAATAATGATGAACGAGCATCATCCAAACTTATGACGGAGGTATTTCTGTATGTTACATTTTATTGCCATCTGTTCAAGAAAAACTTCAAAAACATTTGTTTTAGAGGTTTTTATTAAGTACCAAAATTTATTAATTTAAGTCTCTTTTCATTGATACTTCACTACAAGCTTCAACGTTTTACAAAACTTTGTATTGATAGGGTGGTAATATTAGTAGCACAACAGTTGTCATCAATGTCATTAGAGGTATAAGGGACAAATATGCATGTCAATGCTTTGTTTTAATCTATTGTGCATACATAGAATGTAAATTCTTAATGATTCTGGGAGCGTCTTCATTCTGTAGTAATTCTTCTCTAGAACAATACATTCTTTTGCATAATAAATTATACTATATTGTAACTAAACCTTTGATATCTCACAATTGTTTTATAATTTATACAAGTGGAAAATGAAAAAGTCTGATTTGAGAAACATTTGTACTTAAGTTATGTGATTTGTAATTAAACTGCTGTATGACAATTTATTGTATTCCTGTTTTTATATCAATAATTCTTTTGTACCTGTAATTACATATGGTGAACCATTACCTAAGTGATGATTGTGTGGTATGGTAAATAGTGTATTAAAAGTTGTCTTTCATCAAAGTAATAGAAGACACCACTCTTTCTGGCAAAACATTTAGACCAAAATAAAATCATTACTTTGTGATAATATACGGGTGTTGTTTAATGTGGTTTTATCTAATAAAACATTTGTAAACTACGGTAAAGTTAAAACTCCCTCTCGCAAAGTTAACCATAGACAGTTTTACTGTTCTTTTTCTGTCCTTTCAGTTTTTGTGCTCTTGAACATTTTGTTGGCTTGTAAAACTTTTGGCCTCAAGTCTTTCCAATGTGAAGGTAATTCCAGAAACATGAACACATGTTGTACATACATTAAACTGGTTTAATCTCACCTCATTTTGTGCCTATACCAATTCAAGCTATCTGAATTATGTGTCGTTTGTCTTTGTACGTATATTTTTTTTCATAACTGTTCCATTTTTTTGTGGTCTGTATGGTCTGTTCAGTTGTCCAATATTTTTGGAAATTCATATTATCCTTTTGTGTATCAATAATCAGTATCATGTGTTTTTTTTTTAAACATTTTTCTTTGTGCAATAAATAATAAACCACTTTTTTCCTATTTTTTATTGAAATAAATTCTACCACTTTCTACTTGTATCTATATATTGTCCATCAGGTGAGTCAAAGTCATCTGGAGGAGGTGTTTCTGTGGGACCATTAAACTGATAAACAATATCACCTTCATGGATCTACAAAACATAGTCAAAAGTATTTTAATATATATCACCACTATTTAGCTACAAAACAATCAAAGGTTTAATATACTGTATAATATTACCTTCATGGATAAGAAAAAAGTTATTGAAAAAGTATTACCTGGTAATACCTTAAAAAGTAATATAAAAGCTAATTTACAATTATTTCTTAGCCAACACCAAACCTTTATATAGCAACCAATATCAGATGGCATTTAGCCAAAAGACCATTGCACGCTGTTAGTTGACCTCTATATGTCTTAATGGTACATGTATAATGTGTTGTTCTCAGTTTCTATGTCATTATCATTTACAAACCACATTCTTAATTGATTATTTCATAGCTCTTTTTCATCCTGGATATTGAAATATTTGCCACTGCATGTTAAATCATATTCTACATTTATTTGTGTTTTGATTCTCTGAACAGCTGTCAATGATATTGAAAATATCAAGGTTTGTGTCAGAAAGTGTGTAACAGTACAATTGTAACCTGTATCCACTAATTGACACCCTATAAGGCAAATGAACATGCAGTCAAAGTGATGTGATAACTACTGAAATAATTCATGTTTAAGCCAAGTCCAGGGTTTCTTTAACTTGATGGTTTACAGATTTTTAATATTAAGTTTAGGGGTTGGTCAAGAGTGAAAAAAAAAACCAATCTTACAAGACATAAATGCATAAACCGGGTAGCTTTACTGTTTTATTACAGGAAGTATTTTCTTCTGCAGCAAGACTTCCCTTTGGACCCCCTTCATGTATGTCAATGCTTATTTTGTCAACAGAGGGGGTTCAAAAGGTATTCTTTCCTTGTATAATTATTTATTATCCTTCTGTAAATGTTAGTTATAAACAATTTGGATATGCAATGAACATCATCGTAGTAGACCCGTCTGATTGGAAAGACAGTATCAGTGATATTCGTTTCGTCCTTTTTGCCATCTAAACAGTCTCAAGATATCCAAATGGACAAACATTGTTGTACAACCATTGATACAGGATATCTCCTATAGTTTAGTCATCTGTTTTACTTAACTTTCTTTTCCCTCTAGAGTCGTTTAGATAGGTCTTTTTCTTTTATGATGATGAAACACATTGTAGTGTTGAAACAGCTGATTCAAAATGTTTCAAAATATAATTCTTACAGATTATGGCGAAAAGGCAAAACAAACTAATTGGAATTGACTGTTTGCATAGGTTAAGTTCCATAAAGTTATTTGTGTGAAAAACATTTTCCAATCAGCTGCTATAGTATTTATATAATTTTATTTTAAACAGAAAGCACATTGTCAATGTTTAATATGAATAAAATATTGCACCAATACTAGTATAACATCTATATTATGTTCCAGAATAAAAAGAAAAGTGGATTAGAAGTCAACATACAAATCCTAAATAGAATGGTTTCTTGTGCAATATGTCAAGCCCAAAATTTGTGTAGTGCTCCTCCGGAAAAAGACAACCAATCAGACCAATAACTTGCTTTCAAGAATAAATCAACAAGAATACCAATACAAATCATTTCTGTATAAAATAATATCTAACTAGAAGATATGTTTTATATATATTTCAGGGATTTTGTATTTTGTAAGTTTGGGAGAATGAAAAAAAAAAGCATGAAACTTTCAATTTAAATACCCCCCTCCTGAAAATCTAGAATCAAGGTTAGGTAAATCCTTAAACAAACAATTAACAATCCCTCTCCTAACAAACAAATTAACTTCAATGTATGCACTAAGTATCGGTACACATTCAATACTTAAGCTGCTATTATTTACCTGTTTTGCTTTTTGATACAATTCTTCTGACTCCATTCTAAGTTCATTTAAAGCTTTAGTTTGAACATGTATTGCCTTCTGTAAAGCTTTATCCTCTGTATGGTATTGTTGGTTTTTATAATGTCCCCATTCCTTTACTAAAAGAGCTCTCCTTTCTATTTCCTCTATTTCTAATGGTTCAAATTCTCTTCTTAATTTACTGGAAATAAAAAAGAATAAGATTTAGGGGTCACTAGTTAAGACTTGATCAGAATTTCTTAGCTTCACCATTAAATTTTGCTCTCTACTCTTTGGTTTTTTAACAATCCCTCTTGTTTTCTTTGGTATGTTTAATCATTAGGATAAATGTTGCAAATTGGAAGCTTGTACATTAGAAAATATTGACCCACTGATGACAATGGGAAAGTTCTATGAAACAGACATTATGGTATCCATTACAAAACGTTAGAACATACGGAATTTTGATTACTTATTGTCATATTGGCACTGAGACAGGGATATAATGTCAGATGAGTCATAGTATGAACTTCAAATGAAAACAGATCTTGGTGGCAATAAATGGGTGAAGCTTGAATTCATGAGTCCTGACTACTCGTTTACAAAAAGATCTTGGTGGCAATAAATGGGTGAAGCTTGCATTCATGAGTCCTGACTACTCGTTTTATTATACGACCGCAAAAAAATTTTGCGATCGTATATTGGTATGATGTTGGCGTCGTTGTCCGGTGTCGTCGTCCGAAGACACATTGGTTTTCGCACTCTAACTTTAGTTTAAGTGAATGGATCTCTATGAAATTTTACCATAAGGTTCAATACCACAAAAGGAAGGTTGGGATTGATTTTAGGGGTTATGGTACCAACAGTTAAGGAATTAGGGGCCAAAAAGGGGCCAAAAATAAGCATTTTTGTAACTTCCAGACATAACTTGTGTGTTAGTGTATGGATCTCTCTGACATTGTACCACAAGGTTCCATATCACAAAGGGAATGCTGGGATTGAGGGGTAATTGCCTCAAAATTTTAGGAATTAGGGGCCAAGAAAGGGCAAAAAACAAGCATTTTTATATGGACAAATACTTTAGTACAAAACATAATTTAAAGCAGTGTAGGGGAGATAAATCAAATATATCATTTGAATTACCTCCCTTACACTGCTTTTAAATTATGTATAAAGTAATGGTTAATGAACAATTAAGACAATTAAAAACAGTGGAAGGGAGGTAATCCACATACAACGTTTTGATTACTTCCCTTACACTGCTTTTAAATTATGTTTAAAGAAATGCATATTTATAAAGGAAGACCAGTAAAAATATCTGCACATGTTGCACTTTTTTTTTTTTACAAAAAAATCCATATGAAAGATTTGACACCATATTTTAAATTCTATTATAAAATAGATTAAGTTAGCACTATGGTAAATTTAAATGGGTAATTATGGTTGCAATTTCAAATATTGAAAAATTTCAAGAAGTAATCTTTAATTGCACAGTATGGCGCATTAGATTTGTAAAATCTTTGACCACATTTATTTATTTGTTATGCCAAATCTGACCGTGTATTTAGATTTTAAATTTTTGGGTCCAGTTTTCAAATTGGTCTACATTAAGGTCCAAAGGGTCCAAAATTAAACTTAGTTTGATTTTAACAAAAATTGAATATATGGGGTTCTTTGATATGCTGAATCTAAACATGTATTTAGATTTTTGATTTTGGGCCCAGTTTTCAAGTTGGTCCAAATTGGGGTCCAAAATTAAACTTTGTTTGATTTCAACAAAAATTGAATATATGGGGTTCTTTGATATGCTGAATCTAACCATGTATTTAGATTTTTTATTTGTGGGCCCCGCTATCAAATTGGTTCATATTGAGGTCAAAAGGGTCCAAAATTAAACTTTGTTTTATTTCATCAAAAATTGAATTATTGGGGTTCTTTGATATGCCAAATCTAACCGTGTATTTAGATTTTTAATTTTGGGTCCCGTTTTTTAAATTTGTCTACATTAAGGTCCAAAGGGTCCAAAATTAAACTTAGTTTGATTTTAACAAAAATTGAATTCTTGGGGTTCTTTGATATGCTGAATCTAAACATGTGTTTAGATTTTTGATTTTGGGCCCAGTTTTCAAGTTGGTCCAAATTGGGGTCCAAAATTAAACTTTGTTTGATTTCAACAAAAATTGAATATATGGGGTTCTTTGATATGCTGAATCTAACCATGTATTTCGATTTTTGGGCCCGGTTATCAAATGAGTCCACATTGAGGTCAAAAGGGTCCAAAATTAAACTTTGTTTGATTTCATCAAAAATTGAATTCTTTGGATTCTTTGATATACTGAATCTAACTATGTATTTAGATTTTGGATATTTAAGGAATGACTGTAATATTTTTTCTGTCTATGAAGAAATAACATAAAAAATGTGGTGCATACTGAATAACCCGTGTAGCCGGTTATTTTAAAGTGTGCACCACATTTTTTATGTTATTTCGAATAGACAGAAAAAATATTACAGTCATTTCTTATAATTTAATTCTAAATTCCATTTTAAATCGTAGTAAACCATGAAAAAACGTTGATGACGTCACGGTCACATGACAAAATTATGTCTATGAGCTGATAAACAAAACAACGTCAGCCAATCAGAAGACGCGTTACATCCAAAATTAAATTATTGAACCATAATAGGTAAATTAAAAAATTTTAAGTTCATAGACCACATTCATTCTGTGTCAAATATTTAATCACAATCCAAATTCAGAGCTGTATCAAGCTTGAATGTTGTGTCCATATTTGCCCCAACTGTTCAGGGTTCGACCTCTGCGGTCGTATCAAGCTGCGCCCAGCGGAGCATTTTATTACGGTTATAGCCCTGCTCTGACTTGACATTTCTACCTGTTTCTACAATTAAAATCCAAAAGTTTTGGGAAGGGTATTCTTCTTAGTGAGAAGAAAAATAAGTGGATATATTTTTTTTTTACCTATTAGCATAAACAAATGGTTTTTTAAAACATATAAATAAATTAAAAGTATTATTATTTCAACATTTATTGCCAACTTAGAAAAAAAAATCTCTTTATTAGATAATTGAATGGCCTTGATGGATCAGTGACCAAAGAAGAAAGCAGATTTCATCAATTTACACAATTACTGCAGGACTTCAGTGAATTTGTTAAAAGAAAATGAATTAAAACAAACTAATGGCTTTGAATTAGCTGTCAGTAACTACGAGTACTCTCAGATCTGTACTTGGTGTCTTTTTGTTTTTGGGATGTATAAGTACCTGTCCACGTCCACTCTGTGTTTTTGTTAGATGTAGTTCTATTTGTATCCATCTGATGAGTTAAGCCTTTTTCAACTGATTTGTATAGTTTGTTCTTATGTTGAACTGTTACACCACTGTCACAGGACAGGGGGAGGGTTGAGCACTCATAAACATGTTCAACCCCGCAACATTCTTTATGTGCCTGTCTCAAGTCAGGAGCCTGCTGTTCAGTGGTTGTCGTTGGTTCATGTCTGTCATATTTGTTTTTAGTATACTGTTTTGTTTCAAATTAGGCCGTTAGTTTTCTCAATTGAATTGTTTCATATTTTTCATTTCGGGGCCTTTTATAGCTGACCATACGATATGGGTTTTACTCATTTTTGAAGGCCGTATGGTTGCCTATAATTGCTTACATCCACTTCATTTGAACTTTGGTGGATAGTTGTCTCATTGGCAATCATACCACATCTCCTTATTTCTATATTAAATGTGATAAAAATTAGTCAGTTACCGTACATAGGCAGCTCATTCTAAGTTAATAGGGGTTGCTTGACATTCATCCACAGTAATGAACAAAAGACAACTTTATCATTTAACCTCACAAAACAATTACATTAACCTTATCTGAAAAATGGTACAGAAGAAGGAATCAAACCCTAGAAAGCCTGTAAAGAACATCTTCATTTTTTGGAACACAAATAACTGCAAGACCTTGGATTAACTGAACACCAATAGCAACAATACCATGAATTTTGCTGAACCCCAATATCTACAACACCATGGATTTTGCTGAACCCCAATATCTACAACACCATGGATTTTGCTGAACCCCAATATCTACAACACCATGGATTTTGCTGAACACCAATAGCAACAATACCATGGATTTTGCTGAACCCCAATATCTACAACACCATGGATTTTGCTGAACCCCAATATCTACAATACCATGGATTTTGCTGAATACCAATATCTACAACACCATGGATTTTGCTGAACACCAATAGCAACAATACCATGGATTTTGCTGAACCCCAATATCTACATATACAATACCATAGATTTTGCCTAACCCCAATATCTACAACACCATGGATTTTGCTGAACCCCAATATCTACAACACCATGGATTTTGCTGAACCCCAATATCTACAACACCATGGATTTTGGAATACCAATAACTACAAGACCATGGATTTTTAGAACACCAATATGACCATGGATTTTTAGAACACCAATATGACCATGGATTTTTAGAACACCAATTTCTACAAGACCGTTGAATTTTGGAAAATAATAACTATTTACCATGGATTGTTGGAATACCTATAACTACAAGACAATGGATTTTTGGGACACCAAAAAATATAAGACCATTGATTTTTAAGACAATAGTGTGTTGCCAATTCCCGTAATTGACCCTGTAATTAGAGATCCCTTTTTTAGTTGTCTCCCTTAGGAGAGACATAAATTTTTATTGACAATGGAGAACTAGCGGAAAGAGCAAATTTATCTGTGTGTAATGTGTGTAGCCTTTAAGTTTTTCAAATCTTTTAATTAAATTTAATTTGTTGTTAAGCTAAATACTTTTGATACCAGAAGTTATTTTTCACTAAAAATTTGTTAAAACACTGATATATCACTTTCAACTTATCATGGTTTTATCAGTTTACGATTGACAAAGGAAAGTAATAAAAAAAAAAAAAAGAAGTTTAACAAGAATGTGTCCATAGTACACAGATTCCCCACTCGCACTATTATTTTCTATGTTCAGTGGACCGTGAAATTGGGGTCAAAACTCTAATTTGGCATTAAAATTAGAAAGATCATATCATAGGGAACATGTGTACTAAGTTTCAAGTTGATTGGAATTCAACTTCATAAAAAACTACCTTGACCAAAAACTTTAACCTGAAGCGGGAAAGACGGACAAACGAACAGACTCACAGACCGAAAAACATAATGCCCCTAGTTTGGGCATAAAAAGTGAGATATAACAGAATCAAATCGGTAATTGGCAAATGGACTATTATCACATGACCATGGATGTTTTTACAGGTTATCTAAATCCTGTAGTGTAAAATCTAGACTGTAACTGCTATACACAATAGAACAAATCTTGGGGGCAAAATAAAATCAAGGTTCTACTGTAAATGAATATTAAAACATAAGATTATTTTTTGTTATTTGTGTTGTTGTGTTGCTGTCACACTTAAATGTATACCTCACATCTTCCATTTACTCTTATGCATTGTATACCTCGTACTACTATTAAGAGTATAATATATACCACATAAAACAGGAATCTAATTTACATTATAACTAACAGACTTACTCTCTATTTCTCCTTAGTGCAATGTTGCCTGTAATTTCTTCAACTGGCTTGAGAGTTCTTCCAAATTTCTCTTCTCTTTTTCTCATTTCTCTTTCCATTTTTCTTATTTTCAGTTGAGTAGATTGTATTACTTTTGAAAGATCAACTTTTTTCCTTCTTTTCATAGGTTCAGCACTACAATTCAGATTTACATAAAATAAACAATTTTCTCACATTAATCTCTACAATTCAGGTAAACACAAAATAATCAGATTTAGTTGATTCAGGCTAATTATAACAACACCAGGAAATAAACATTTTTACTGGTTCAGCTCAACAATTCTGATCATAATAAAATGCTCAGATTTCAATTGTCCAGCCTTACAATTCAGATCTTGGCATCTACATTAATAAATAAAATTGAGAATGGAAATGGGGAATGTGTCAAAGAGACAACAACCCGACCACAGAACAGACAACAGCAGAAGGCCACCAACAGGTCTTCAATGCAACGAGAAATTCCCGCACCCGGAGGCGTCCTTCAGCTGGCCCCTAAACAAATATATATACTAGTTCAGTGATAATGAACGCCATACTAAACTCCAAATTGTACACAAGAAACTAAAATTAAAAATAATACAAGACTAACAAAGGCTAGAGGCTCCTGACTTGGGACAGGCGCAAAAATGCGGCGGGGTTAAACATGTTTATGAGATCTCAACCCTCCCCCTATACCTCTAGCCAATGTAGAAAAGTAAACGCATAACAATACGCACATTAAAATTCAGTTCAAGAGAAGTCTGAGTCTGATGTCAGAAGATGTAACCAAAGAAAATAAACAAAATGACAATAATACATAAATAACAACAGACTACTAGCAGTTAACTGACATGCCAGCTCCAGACTTCAATTAAACTGATTGAAAGATTATGTCTTCATCATATGAATATCAGGCACAATCCTTCCCGTTAGGGGTTTAGTATCATACCATCATAACATATATGAGAAGAACATAACCTGTGTCATGCCAACAACTGGTTTTTAAATAAATGTGTTTAGTGCCGATGCAAAGACCCTATAAGTGAATCAATATTAACGCCAAAATATGCAATCTTTAATGACCTGACAACAGTATCGTAACTATATCCCTTCTTAATAAGTCTATTTAAAGGTTTTGTTAGTTTCAGAGGAGAATACTGACATTTTTGTGCTTTATAAAGAATATTTCCATAAAAAATTGGATGTGAAATACCTGAACGTATAAGAAGTCTGCATGTTGAGCTATATTTACGAATGATGTCCTTATACCGATGATAAAATTTAGTAAATGTTTTGACTAGTTTGTGATATCGAAAACCCTGGTGCAATAATTTTTCAGAAATACATAAATTTCTCTCGTTAAAATCTAAAAAATTGTTACATACACGAGCGAATCGTACAAGTTGAGATATATAAACACCGTAAGATGGTGACAAGGGAACGTCACCATCTAAAAATGGATAATTAACGATAGGAAATGAAAAATCATCTCTTTTATCATATATTTTAGTATTAAGCTTTCCGTTAATGATATAGATATCAAGATCGAGGAAAGGGCAGTGGTCATTGTTAGTATTAGCTTTATTTAAAGTAAGTTCAACAGGATAAATTTCTTTAGTATACATACTGAAGTCGTCATTATTGAGAGCCAAAATATCATCCAAATATCTAAAAGTATTATTAAATTTGTGTATCAGATGTTGTTTCGATGGGTCTTTACTGATTTTTGTCATAAATTGTAACTCATAGCAATACAAAAAAAGGTCCGCAATAAGTGGTGCACAGTTAGTCCCCATTGGAATTCCGATAAGGCTGTTTTCATTATATAATTAGTTCAATATATATTTACATAAAATTAACAGCTTTTATTATTTGCGTCCGTCCTACAATTTAGATTAAATCAATTGAACATTTCAATTCATATGAAAACAAAAACTCAATAAATCACTTTGTTTTTTTTTAAAGATATATATCTATTTTACTTGATTCCTTGCCGTTGTGGATTATAAAGCTACAACCCTTTTAGGGCACCAGAGTTAACAGGCCTACTTTTTTATACCGTTCCTGTGTAGTGTTCAGTGGACTGTTGTTGGTCTCTGTCTTTTTGAGGTAATGGTGTTGTCTCTTCTCCTTGAACTTTTGATTTTTCAGGGGGATGGGTATATTTTCGCATCATTAAAGTCAATGCATAATAAATGAAATTGACCCCCGTGCAAAAATATCCACATTTACAGTAATACGATTGATATGAGGAAATGTATAAATAGGCAATTAAGTAAAAGCCTGAGGAATCTATACACTGTATGTTAAAATTTAACTACCACCAATGTGACTGAATATTTTTTCTGTTGATTATTCTATCATATCATATAGGCAGAATATGTCACATTCAGAACTTTTTGTAAAGTATTCTACTGACCTGAGGTTTGGAGTGGTGTAAAACAAAAGTGGATTAGAATTTGTATGGAATTGTCTGGTTACTCCACAGGAACAACATAACCTGGAAAATATTATTACACTTTGTATTATAAAAATTTAACATAGAAAATTGTATTTGAAAATTGTTTATCATGTTTATCAAAGCCAAAACCAAATACATGCATTGACAGCTCTAACACAGGAACACACTTAATTTTACAAAGTACAATTAAAATGCAAACAAAAGTATTATTTACCCTATGTACCGGTAAATTTGGGTTTTATTTTGTGACACATAGTAGACACAACATTTTACACTAAGTTTAACTGAATTTAGTCTTTTTGCACACTTTAATTTTCACTTTTTGTTCGTCCATCATTTTGTTGAGGTGGTGGAATCTATGTTTTTACATTTGTGAGCCTCAAGTTTTTTGCAGTGTCACTGACTTGTGTTTGTCAAATTTTCTCTGCCAGAGATTTTTTATACTGTTAATTCAGGAATCTTTGAGTGCAATTATTATTGCATTTTTTTTTACAATAGACAAAATTGTGAGATTAATTATTGCATTTTCAAGAAATGCAGGATGCAAGTTGTGCTATTATAATTTAAAATGAGAGTTTTTGTTTTTGCAAAACCTATTGCATCACAATTTTCGCAATAATATTACAAAAATAACCGTTGTCAATTTTCACTTCACGATGATACAACATATTATGTATTCGTTATTTAAAGCTTATACAACAACTCGTTTAATTATGAGTCTACTTTGTAAGGAATGCAGAAAAATAAAAAATAAAACTTTTTGCACAAGTATACAGGTAAAGTTTAATTATAAGGAATAACATGGTTTAAATAACACGAGGTGACAAAAGAAGTTGTTTGACTAAGATCGTCACACTGAACCAGGTATCCAGATACTTTAGCTTTCTGAATGACCTCTTAACCACAGGCACTTGTCTCTGAATTTTTTTTTTTACCTTATATACTTTACAAAGACGAAATAATTACGGTTGACATACTTTGAAGGCCTGTAACAAATGGAAGTAGGCTTGTTATACACCATTTTGTAGATAATTTAATGTAGATTTACGACATTACAAGTTTCAGTGGGGTAAACAACCGCAGAATCGAAATATAACGGAAGTTTTTCGACTGGGTAACATTTCTCAATTATGTGAGTTTAGTACCTTATGTTATATTAAAGTATATAGGTAAAAAAAAATTCAGAGACAAATGCCTGCATCATTTGTGCATGTGCACTTCACCTGATACACCAATCTTGAGTTCGTTTTTAATGAAAAAGTTACACCGGTTGAGGTCAATTGGCATAAACAACGTCATCAAACAATCTGTTCCAACTATGACGTAATATTATTAGCATTATGACACAAGGAATTAACCAGGGAAAGTGCATGAATTCGAAAGTCGTCTTATAAGTTATAACAACTACAAACTATCAGGCTATATATCCTCGTCTCATGGATTTTCGTGCTATTAAGAATGCATTGCGATGTCACAATTTCCATTGAAAAAGCATGCATAGTACGAATTCATATGAGTCTTCTGACGTACGAAAACATATCTGATCTGACCATACGTATGTATGTATGTATGTACTGGTAAATGCCTCCATTATCCGAAGAACCCCTCGAAAACTGCGAGGGTACAGTGACATCCATGTACACTCCCTATCGGGATTAATGGAGATGTGTCACTAACGTAAAACTACGACAATTTTTTACAAGGACAATCAATCCCCACCCAACAGAAAGGGAGTGCTAGGACACCGGGAAGTCTGTTATTATGGTGGAGGAAGCCGAGGTACTCGGAGAGAACCACCGGGCCACTCGGCGGAAACAGACAATCCGGAGAGATATCAGAAGATTGATCTCCAGGTCCTATACATAATAAACATGATTATAAAGGCATCATCATCTTGACAAGGAAATCACAACTTCGCCTAATATGAGATGAAATAATGCTTTTGTGACATTAAATCGTAAATAAAATAAAAACACTTCTTGGATTTAGAAAAAAACCTTGAAAATTTTGATATTTTTCCTAGTGACATTTTTAGTTTTTCGTCTGTTCGAGTTTCTCTGGTCTTAACATGGATTATTGATTTTACAAAATTTTAGGCAAAAAGAAATTTGTTGTTAAATAACCTATGATTTTAAAGACTATACTCATATTGCTGAATATTCTTATTTGTTTAATTTAGATTAGAAAAAACTAGTATAGATCATGTCTTTAATCACAGTAAATTTGTAATGTGGGAATTCGTTTTTTTTAAACGTGAAACTAATCTCCCGCCACAACCTAAAAATGGTTTTACAGAACAGTGGGAAATATAAATCAGACAAATATAAATCAGACAGAGACACTGGTGAAGGAGGGTAAAAATATCTTAAACCAATAGACAGGGACAATAACTAACGGAATCCCGATTGCCCATGTCCTAGCCTTTTTAATTGTGCCAATTTCACATCTAAAATGACCTGAAAAACTGCACTTTTTATACGGTATTATACATATCAAAATGATTGCCAAATGAGACAACTTAATACCAGAGATCAAAGGATGATGATGTATATAACTATGGATAACTATATGGCCTTCAACAATGGGCGAATCCATACCAAATCAAGTAAACCTCACAGTACCCAAATACGCCTTATCGCTATTCATGCTATTTGGAAATCTGCACCACTTGAACTATTGACGTCGTACAACAATCACTTTTCCATTGTGGCGTCAGTTATTTTCTATTGTGATGTCAAAATTTTACGGGAATCTTTGCGATTTCCAGTAATGGCGGACAAATAGCGATAAGGTGTATTGCACCGAGTACCCAAATTGCATCCATAAATTGGCATAATGCTAAAATATCTTAGAGGCTTTATTAGAGACAAAACAATTCGCCATTAGGCACGTCTTTCAAAATAGCTAAATATACACCAAACGGTCACATTTTATATCAACAGATAACATTTCCAGTGAAAAAGGTAAGAAAATTGTCATGGAAATGTTGTATGCCACATCTACAAAAAGTCAACTTTTAGAAATGATAAATTAAGATACATGTATGTCTCAGACATCAATTCCATACAAAATGTATATAACAACAGTCTGCAAAACCCTTTTGGTTTCTGTCTGACATTTGGTCAGACAGTGTTGTAGGTTTTGTCTGACCGAAAAAAAAACAATTAAGCTTATTGTGTTGTTAATGTTTTTAAATGTACTGTGTTGTTTTATGATGATATTTATGGTAAAAATTGCACTTCAGGAAAGCAGTTGATAAATTTTAATAAATAAAAAGAATTGTTATACATTTATCAGTCAGGGGTACTACTTAAACAAGTGATTTCAGAATCACTCCCTCGAGTGATTTTGGCTGTGAAATATTAAAAATTTTCACACAGACTTTTTAAAATCACTGAAACAAGTAATTTTAGAAGTTAAAATGTAATCACTTTAATAAGTGTTTATAACATTTTCTTGATATTTTTCCCACAAGCTTGATTTTTTTATTGGTAAAAAGACAACAATTCCATTAAAAAAACAACTATGTATATGCAGAAATTGTCTTTTGCTTGATAAGCCTGACACTTTTACAGATTTTTAAAATATGCAAAAACTGGAATAGTTTGTAGATCAGGTCATAAGCTTGAAGTAGATCATTCTAACTCTAAAGAAAACCAATCAGGTTACCTTATATTGTTGATCTTTGTCTGATAGTAAGAGTAGTTAATGAATTTTTGATTACAGAAAAATTCCCAAGGGTACTTTTAAAAGCTTTAGCGCACTAACTTACTGCCCAAGCGCACTGGTGAAATTAATATACAAAGAAAAAGGGATAATTGATTTATGTAGGAAAATTATGGAAAAGATTGTGAAAATATGGAAAATCAATGAAATTAGCATTTGAAGATCAAAGAAAACACTAAAATCACTTAAATAGGTGATAACTGAATTTATCAAATCACTGAAATAAGTGATGATGAAATCACTTGTTTAAGTAGCACCCCTGACTGTTTATATATATATTAGAGTTTATTTTATGACTTGGACAGGAACATTTTAAAGTTATAGCAGCCTGTGATGAAAGTGTTTTGGATTCTCAAATTTTGAGATACATTTGTGCTGTTCCATAATGACTTATGCAAACTTCACATGACATTAGGGTCTTTATGTGTTTATGACCTTCCATTCATTATTGAATTTTCTCTCTGGTCTGTGCTCCTCATATTTGCGTTTTTTGTCATGATTGCTTCCTTCATCAGTCACGTTACGTTTCAAGGGCTTACTGGGGATAGCCCCTTGAACATACTTCAGAGTAAACATTTTACCCGGAAGTTTTCATTTCTATCGATCTATGCTCATGCACATCAAAGTACAATAATAAGTCACAAAACCGAGGCGGTGAAAACACCGGTCAAACTGACCGGAATTGATATACGATTTGGCGGACCTGCCTCTATTTCATCAGTCAGGACCATCGAACAGACGGCGTTTGGCACAGACTGTAACGAGCATGGACTATTGTCAAATTGTTAAACAAATGTGAATAAATAAAACAAAACATCAGTTATTCTGTTTTTACAGATGTGTTGTTAGCATGGGTGCAATTTAGGTACCCCTCATTACAGAATCTTGGATCATTTGGAGGTCGATGTAAACCCATTTTTCTATGATTCAGTATGGATTCAAAATTAAATTTGTGGAACTATATAGTAAATAAAGATACCTCTGTCTACAAGTACACAATCTTCCTGCAGATGATCTCTGGAAATTTGAATTTCTTGTGTGAACAAATCTTCATGTGGAAATATAAGTATTATACAACTATGAGGGAACGACCATTTAACTTCAAGGGGGGTGTAATGGTATTTTCCCAAAAAAATATTCTGATCACCAATTTGATGAAAAAAAATATTGTGGTCAAGCAGATGACAAAAAAAAAATATTCTGAATCCAGATTTTCCCAATTCGCTTTGCACGAAGAAAAAAAATCTGACTTGGACAAAAAACCATAACCCCTCCCTTGAAGTTAAATGGTTACTCCCTAATCAACTTGTACCTATGACAACTTACAAATATATGTGTTTCATTAGTCAATGTGGAGTATTATGAATTTAAGTATATGTTTCTTTTCACTTTTCATGTTTTGATGTGACTAAGAATTGTACTTTAATTGTAAACTTTGAATTATATTTATTACAGTCAAGAATCAGACAAAAGATTACTGAGATCCCAACAGAATGATCTTCTTGACAAAAAATTTGGATATGAACGATACAAAGATCCTAAAGAACGTGTTGGATGGCTTATCAACATGCACCCGGTAACAATTTATGTCACAATAGTTTTGTTGTCTCAAGTTTAAGGTATTTGGAACATAATCCAAATTGTAATCAAATATTTAAAAAAATATAAAAAAGATAAATCAAAGCATACATGCATATGTTATTAACTCTTTTTGGGAAAATTTACTTGAGGATAGTGTTATAAGATGTTTGACAAATCATAAAAGTTTGGGTCAGTTTCCCAGATACTATGTGTGTGACATTTGCATTGAAAAGATTGTCTGATCTCAAGATAAAAATATACAGACTGTAACTCATGAGGTAACATGAGTTTAGGGAAAGACTGTCTTCATCAAGTCTGGTATTTTTTATTTTTTTTTATCAAAGTGAGAAATTACCATTGCCACTGCCATGTATATAGGACTGATGTTTTATTTTCAGGCTGATATCTTGGATGAGAATAAACAGTTGATAAGTGCTGTTGACTATTACTTCTTAGAAGATGATGGGGGTAGATTTAAGGTAAAATGAACTCCTCAAACTCTATCTTTGAAATGTATATTTTTAATTTTCAACCATGTGACTTGCAATGATTTTAACAATTTAAATTGAAGTAATTATCAGTTAATTATAAGATGTGGACTCAGGAACTTCTTGATTGAAAAGAGAACTAAAAACTTGTAAAAAAATCAAAGCTTACTAATAAATTTGTACAATAAGCACCAGTTTTTGTAAAATATATTTTGTTTTGTCTGAAGGATACAAAATTAATAGAACAGCAGTTTTCTGAAGATCTGATTATAACTTATATGTATATGCAACACATCTGAGTCATAAAGATATTGTTTAAGCAATTTCCTTTCTGCCTCTTTGGTCTCATAGTAGTGTGCTTGCCTTGATTGTTAGAAGTGGTGGATTCAACACTTTAAATAGTTGGGTCAAAACAAATAATTTAGAATTTGAATTTGCTGATTCTCTGCCAAGCATGCAGGATTTCAGAGTAAGAACAAAGGCTGGTCAGCTTTGAGTCAGAATAATGTGCCAGTGAGACCTCATTAATCCCTGATTTTCTTTTTTGCAGGCCACCCTTCCGTTCAGGCCTTACTTTTTTGTGGCAGCAAGAGGTAATTGTGGGAGAGAAGTCGGATCCTATCTGACAAAAAAATTTGCTGGGAAGATTGCTACAGTAGAAACGGTCAAGAAAGAGGATCTTGACCTGGTAGGTAGACACATGATCATATCTGACCAGAAAAATGGTTCCAGGAATGTTTGTCATAGTAGAATCTCAAGAAAGAGGATCTTGACTTTTTGTCTCATGATCTATTCAGACCAAAAAGAAAAGAATTTTTGAAAGGATAGGCATAGTGAAAATTTTCGTGAGAAAAATTATAAAATTTCCAACAAATATTCAACAACTTTTAGCTGAATCGTTTTAATATATAGTTAATTTAGAAAAGCAGACATATTTTACATTTTAACCAAATCATTTAGTTAATTTAGACATATTTTATGTTGTAGCCAAATCATTTAGTTGGGTTAAAGAGAACTTATCTCAAGTTGTCATTTGTATCAACTGAAGAATTGATGAAAGTCAAGAGAGAAATTCAACCTGCTGTCAGAAAAAATAAAGAAAGGGAAAAGTCAAGTGAAGTCTACACCGCAATGTTATCAAGGTAAGTTAATTGCTGCGGTGCTTGCCTCCAGTTTGGAATACCAGGGGTTTAGTCCTTCACCAGGTCAAAGTCAAAACAAAGGCTTTTAAATTGTTCTCTGCTGCTTCTCCTCCAAGAATGTGGTGTTT